CTTCCTGTTCTGCGGGGACGCAAACAGGTCTACCTGGGAAGATCTTCCAACAGTGGGGGACAAGTTGACCACCTCCAGATGGAGGGACCACTCATGGCGAGAGGAGAAGGTCCTGCTGAGGTGATCTGCCAGGATGTTCCCAGTTCCAGGTAAGTGAGCAGCCACCAGGTGGATGGCGTTCTGCACACACAGGTACCAGAGGCTGAGCGCCCCTTAACTCAGAGCAGAAGACCTGGCGCCGCCCTGCCTCTTGATGCAATACATCATGGCTGTGTTATCCATGAGGCACCACCTTGCCTGTCAGATGGGTCAAAAACACCTGGCAGGCCAGGCACACCGCCTTGAGCTCCCTGACGTTGATATGAAGCGCGAAGTTGTGCTGCATCCAGCGGCCTTGGGTGCTGAGCTCGCCCAGGTGGGATCCCCAACCCAGATCTGACATGTCCAAGACCACGGTGAGCAACAGTGATGGGGACAAAAAAGGGAACCCCCACAGCACTGACTTGGGGTCTAGCCACCAGTTCAAGGACAAGAGGACGCGGTACGGCACCATGACCGCTCGGTCTAGTGGGTGCCTGCTGGGAACACAGACCGTTGCCAGCCACGTTTGCAGGGGTCGCAGATGAAGCCGGGCGTGCTTGACCACATATGTGCACATTGCTATGTGGCCCACCAGCCGCAGGCAAGTGTGGGCCATGGTGATCAGATGCCTCCTCACGTGGGCAATGAGATCCACCATTGCCTCAAAGCATGCTTCTGGAAGGAAGGTCCTGGCTTGCGCGGAATCGAGAACCGTTCTGATAAACTCTATGCACTGGACTGGTGTCAATGTGGACTTTTGTGCGTTTATTAACAGGTGCTGGTCATTGCAGGTGGAGCATACCACATCGAGGCTTCTCCACACCTGTCCCGGAGACCTGCCCTTGATAAGCCAGTCATCTAGTTACAGGAAGATCTGGAATCCCCCCACCCCCAACATCTGAGGTAAGCCGCTATGGGCGCCACACATTTCGTGAACACCCTGGGGGCTGAGGACTGGCCAAAGGGTAGCGCTGTGAACTGGAAATGGCACCCCGTCCCTATAAAACGCAGGAACTGCCTGTGTCCTAGGAATATGGAGATATGGAAGTAAGCATCCTTTAAGTCAAGAGAAGCGTACCAGTCCCCTGGATCCAGGAAGGGGATAATGGAGACCAGGGAGACCGTGCAGAGACCATAGCCTCCGGGATTAGGAAGTAATGGGAGTAGAATCCTCTTCCTTCCATGTCCCGAGGAACCACCTCCACAGCCTCCAACTGCAAGAGCTTGTGGACCTCCTGAACCAGGAGTTGCTCATGAGAGGGGTCCTTGAAGAGGGACAGGAAAGAAGGGACGGGAAGGAGGGGTATCCACAAACTGCAGGTTGTAGCCCCGATATGCTATGTCCAGGACTTAGCGGTCCAAGGTAACTCACGACCTGGCCGAGCAGTAGGGTGAAAGGGGTTGAGGAAAGGACAGGCAGGATCTGGCTGGCTGACTGGGGCACACCCTCAAAACGATTGCTTTTGGTGCCCTGGGTGCTTAGTGGGTCCAGGTTGGGCTGGAAATCAAGAGGAGGAGGGACGACGGCGGCTAAACCCGGTGTCCCTTCTCCTTGTAGATCCCTGCTGGCCTCGCCAAGGCCTCAACGGTGGCGGAGGTTGGAATGGCTTTCTGGCAGACTACAGTGAGTGCATACCCAACAAGCGAAGGGTAGCCTGTGGAGCCTGGTGTCCGTTTGATCAGAGAAGAGCCCAACTCTGTCAAAGAGAGGTCCTGAATAGAGGCCTGCATCTCCTGGGACAGGACCGCCGTTTGGAGCCAGGAGTTGCGTCGCATAACCACTCTCCCTGCCAATTCCGCTGCATCCCATGTCATTTGCAGGGAGCATCTGACTGCTGTGGTCCTTTCCTCCACCAGGGTACCAAATTACTGACCCTAAGGAAGGGAGTCCTGGAACTTCTGGAGACTCTCCCATAAGTTAAAATTGTACCAGCATAGCAGGGCCTGATGGTTTGCCACTCATAATTGTAGGCTGGCCACTGCATAATTTTTTCTGCCAAATACATCAAGTTTTTTGGCTTCTTTATTCTTGAAAGTAGAGGCAGTGGGGACCTGCTTGTGCTTTTCGCTGGCCGCAAACACAACCAGCGAGCCCAGAAGTGGGTGAGTATAAAGGTACTCAAAACCCTTGGCTGGCACAAAATATTTTTTCTCTGCCCGTTTCAAGGTGGGTGACCTGCCACGGGATTGCTTATCCAGTGATCCCCCGGCCCTGGAGGGGTCTTAATGACTGGCTTGCCTTCTCAGGGAGCCGTAGTCTGGTCCTGTGGCACCGGAGATGTCACAGGAGCAGGTGGAGACCTGTGCTCTCTCTGCTCCCAGGCCTGGGATGACGAAGGTGCAGGCAGGGTGGTGGTCCCATACTGCTTACCAGAGTCAGTGATGGACTTTTAAGAGGGCCAAGAGCCCCAGCCGCAGAGGCATGCTCGCGCTGCTCTGGAGAATGCTGGCAGACAGGCCTGGTCCCTCTACCCGATGACCCTTGGGCCTTCTTGCTCTGCGCTTGCGAGTGCTTCTTCGCCTGCTTCTTCGATACTGGCAAACAGTGCTGAAAGGAGCCATACGCTGGTGCGGAGGCCGAAGTACTCGGTGCGGCCTGTGCTGAGGGCTCGGAAGTGTCAGGCGGAGAGCGGACTCCATCAGGAGGGCTCTGAGGCAAATGTCCCTCTCCTTCTGGGTGCGAGGCCGAAAGTTCTTTCAGATCCGACAACGCTCCTTAATGTGTGATTCCCCCAAGCACTTAAGGCAGCTGTCATGGGGGTCACTCACAGGTATAGGCCTGCTACAGACCAAGCAGGGCTCAAACCCAGGAGCTCGGAGCATGCCCCATTTGGGGCGAAGTCCCAGACAGAACCTTCGCTAACAGCTAACTATGCTACTTAACAGCTACTTAACACTAATTACAATTAAACAAAGACCCGAAGGCCCATGGAAGAAAACTGCTAGCTCTTGACAAACAAGAGAGGCGCTCTGACTGACCACCACGGGAGGTAAAAAGGAAATGAGAGGGTGTGGGCCGGCAGCGCTTAATATACCGCAGCATAGGCGCAGCACAGGCGCAGCACACTAGAGGGCGCTACAGCCGGCCCTGTGGGTACCACTAAGGCAAAAATCTCCGAGGGCCATGCACATGGGCGTGCACACACCTAGAATGGAATCGACATGAGCAAGCACTCAAAGAAGAATCAGTATATTTGAAAATGTAGAAAAATATCCAAAATATTTAATAAATTTCAATTGGTATTCTATTGTTTAACAGTGCGATTAAAACTGCAATTAATCGTGATTAATTTTTGTAATTGCGATTAATTTTTTTGAGTCAATTGCATGAGTTAACTGTGATAAATCAACAGCCCTAATAAATAAGTATAATACCTTACATTTTACATTGCTTTATATTCATTCATGCTGAGTTCTATTACACTAACATTACTCTAAAGTTACATGCTATAACCTTTGCGGCTTTGCACAACTGTGTTGCTCTGTAGACAGAAGGAGAATACAAGAAGGCTTGAGACATACTCTCAAACCAAAATCCTTTAGGCATTCTGCTATGCTTGGCTACTGCAGACAGGAGCATACATATGGAGCCAAATAAGAAAATGTCTGTAAGATTTAGTGTTTTTGTAGAACTATGAATTTTATTCATGTTCCGCTTTCCCCAAAGTGCTTTTTACTTATATTAAACTGTTTAAACAAGATGAGATGTGAAGAATTGTGATCTCTGTGTTAGCTAGAGAGTCATTCCAGAAAAGAAACAGATGAACAATTTTGTTGATGCTTAGCTAACATGCCCTCTGTTCCAAGCTGTAAGTGGTGAAGGCTGTCTCTAAAGTTTTGCTGATTTCTGGAATACTATGATCAAAACAAGGTAATAAACTAGTTACAAACTTTGCCCTGTTTAGTGCAGGGTCTGTGCAAGACTTTCAAAACATGTCAAAAACAGTAGATGAGAAGTAATGCAAAGAAATGATGAAACCCTCAACTGTAGTATAAAGAGAGCAAGAGTGAAGCTCAGATTTTGAGAGAGCTTACAAACTACACTACTGCATCCCAGATTGCTGGTAATGTATTCTTCTTTCTGTATTACACTGTTTTAATCTTTGACTAATAATCTTTGATTAATAAAACTGATTGAGCCTAGCTATTTATTTACTGAGTTAAATCAAACCCATAACAACCTCTAAAGTCCAGATGCCTTGCAACCGTTTTAAAACTGAAACGTATCTGTATCTTCTAATGCTTGTAACCTCAACATATAGTTTAACCCAACAACACAAACCCCCAGACTGACAGAAACACAGGAAACTGATGGTAACATTTTGGAAGCTGAGATTTTGCAGCAAGGGGATAGACAGAGAGCTGCTTCTACTCCTTCCTGCCTTTTATGGGCAGCTCCAAGCCACCCAAACCCAACATGCTTGTTGGATGTTTGGCACCGACCAATAGGTGCATTCTTAATAAGAAAGGGCCAACAAAGACCAGCAGGTGCCACACCATCACCCAGAGATGTGTGGCCCACCCTCCATAAGCCTGCCCCACAAGCAGGTGCTACTAATACCTCCTTCTGCACAACACCCACAATTGTGAATTCTGTGGTTCTGCAGAAGTAGCAGACTTCCCAGATCTCTGTTCACAGAATGATAAGTTGGCAAAGAAGCAAGGAAACAAACAATATTTGTAAGATGCTTTGGAAATGTACAATAAAATGCCATAAAGGTTACTACTACTACTAGAGCTATGTTACTTTCTGCTTCGGAAAATCATCGGTGGGGAAAAACGATTGCCCCTCCGCCCCTTTTTGTTCTTTAAGATATACTTTTTAATCTTTTAAGAGTATAACAATGAAGAGCTAAAAGAAAAAATAATCCTTTATACAAACTGAAAAAATACGTTCACACATTTATACTAGTACTTACTTATTGCAGTGATGCTTTATGTGTTTTTTATATCCTTCATCTTGCAGTAGATGTTCCGGATTATATTTTCGAAGCCATTCTGCTTTATGTATATCAAAAGTGCTAGCCTGAGTCTTCACTTTCTTTCCTTTTCTACCCCTCGGCACAGGTGCTGACAAACCTACACAAAATGAAAATACAAAGCAATGGACAGTAATGTACAACTGGCAGATGCTTTGTAGTGTTTTTTAAATTAATATATTCTAAAAGAGACGTAAACTCTGGTGGTGACCTCAAATGCCATATGGGATACCAGGCTCATTATAGGTCCTTGGCCTGTCAGAAAGGGAATCTCTAAGAGGTGTATTTCATCATTAGGACAGAAAGATAAAGGAGAGATTGCTTGTTGTCACTGTTAGCACACAGTGAACTAGGTTTCAGTGAGCAATGAACTGGGAAAGTCTACTTTACATACAGTATACCAACCCATAGTGGAAAGCCAGCAATAGCAAAGAATGGGAAAAAGGAGAATTTGCTTTTCCAATCAACCTTTTGAGATAACCTCAGCAAAATCCATTTACTTTAGTTATTTAATTATTCTTTAAACAAAAATTTTAGCTGTTTTTTTCACATACTTAGAAAATGTTGATTTCTTTATCACAAAATTACATACAAAAAGTTGTCTAATTACAGAAACACTTAGTTCCTTACCTAGATGATTCTGCAGCTCTCGTGTTTGCCCATCCTCTGTTGGGGTGATGAGATCCCATATAAAACTTTTTATCTTTTCATCTCCTCTGTAGTGAACAAGGCAATATGCTAAGAGTGCTCGGCAAATTATCTCCACGTCCTGTTCATTTAGTTGCCTCTTGAAGCGACCATGTGACAAAATCTCTCTCCAACGACCCCACCTGATCCAAAGTGACACACCCAGCAGAATTTTTAAAATACAATACTCAGGCAATCTGTATGTGAGTATTATTGCAAAAGGAACAACTTCTTAAGATTTTGTGGTTTTCACTTTTTTGGTGTCTTCGGAAGCTTAAGCTCCTAGAGTCCAAAGGACTGTGAATCACTCAGGCTTCAGATACCATGATGTTGTAAACATCAAAATAACCGTTTCAAATGAAAATCTGAAGAATGTGTATCTCAAATATGGATTATTGGTTTAGGTTTTTCAAAAATCGTTATTACAGTACTGCTAAATGTACACACACTGTCTCTCTCTTTATGTGAACTACGACCAAGGTTTTTGTTCCCAAATGTTAGGCTCATAAATAATAGGCTTGATTTTCAAAAGTGCTGAGAATCTGCAAGTTCCTATTCAAACCAGCTGGAACTGCAGGGTGCTTAGTATATTTCAAAATAAGGTTGCTTACGCACCTAATTATGGATTTATAAGCCTAACTTTAGGTATCTCTTTCTGAAAATTGTGTCCTATTTTTCCAGACTGATTTTAAAATGAACACATACTGTATGTGCATTATATTACGCAATTTCTAACTCTGCATAGTTCTTTCCAGTGAACACTTAAAATTTATGTATAATCCATGGATTAACAAATTTCTCACATTTTGATTAAAAAGGAAAAACCTCACTCTTTCTATTAAACTTTTCAGAAGAGAAAAGACTTATATAGGGTACAGAACAAAATTCCCATCCCAAACAGATTTCCCCAACGTGTCTCATGCATACAACTCTGATTTAAAAATTGATAGATAGTTTGACAGTGTTATTGGTGAGCTGCAGTTCATCTGAGCTCCTGAGAGCACTCCTCTTAAGAGTCGGGGAGGATGAGAATTAAAAATACAGAAGTACATTAAGAGTATATTAGAAGAATGACTTAAAATACTGAAGAAAAAGGAAAGGAGTTATGCTGCCAGTGTATCTCATACTTTACTAGTTTATAAGTCTCAACAGTTGGCAATATTTAAAATGCACATAACCATTTTACATCTTAAGATCTGTAATTCATTCTTGTTAATAAAACAAAAAGTATATTCCATAAATAAGATTTAGTATATTTAGAAATCAACACTATGTTGTGAGTTTCACTTTAACAAAATAGAGTATATTTTACCCATAGACTAATAAGTTTTTCTCCACCCGAAAGCACTCTGTTCTTCCATATCCACTAGAGCGGTCACAAGGCCTGCGGAGTTTTGGTTTATCATCCCCTTCACTCTCTGCTTCTGATAACTCAGCCAGCTCATCTTTTGTGGCACTAAAGGGTCTTGTTTGCTTCCTAATTCTTGGGGTATCAATAACCAGGCTGTTCTGTAAAATTTTAACAAATATTATTTAAGACAGAGTTGGTAACATTTTCTAAAAGTACCTGACATAATTTTGAGAGGGCAATTTCTATTTAAATTTCACATTTACACAAACATCAAAGAAATTCCTAGCTGTAAACCAATTATAGAATTCTTATGCAACAAAACAGACATTCTTCATTCTTTACTCCTTCAATGAGACCAATACATTAGATGTACATTACAAACTAGATGTAACATTTTATTTTGTTTGTACTGAATACTGCCATAGATATTGGGGACCAGTTTCTTCCCTATGCTCTTGGCAATGCAAAGGAGACATAAAGCCATTTTAAAACTGACAACCTAGTGATTCCTTCAACACAGGGGTGGCGTGGCCATGAGCAACACATCTTGAAGAACAGTTATGAAAGGTAGGTAACCGTTTTTATTTCGAGTGCTTGCTCATGTCAATTCCATGTCCCATCCTCCTACCCCTCTGTTGGAGTTGCCGGCAAGAAGGAACTGAGAGGGGGAAGGGCTGGCGGCGCCTGATATACCGCCGCATGGGAGCGCCACTCCAGGGGGCGCCACAGCTGGCCCTATGGATACCACTAAGGCAAAAATCTCCGACAACTGTGCACATGGGCGCGTGCACAACTAAAATGGAATCGACATGAGCAAGCACTTGAAGAAGAACTGACATTGTGGCTCTCTCTCACACTCTTTCGAAGCGCCTATGGTAGGGGTTGTGACCAATGGAAATCAAGCAGTCAGACTGGCTCTTGTGTTCCAGCCATTCTTGGGTGCTAAAATGGTCTCCTGGGTCATTTGGGAACCAGATTTACATTAGAAAAGCCCTGAACCTGCCTACTAATGCACTGACTAACCAAAGAAGTCAATTTAAAATAACAAGTGTGATGATTAGTTTTGGTTGAAAAAGTTTCATAAATCCAACACTGCTATCCTTAAAGGCCAAAGGTTTTAATATTAATTTGCAAAGGTGGTAACTTGATAGTTCAATCTCTATTGAGAATATTCAACTCACATGAGCAACATGATTATGAGAAAGACAAAAAGGACCATTAAAAAGAATGTACACAAATGAAAATATTCACACACAAAAAATACTTACTCTACCACTGATGGCATCTATATCTATTTCTGCTTTTTTGGCCCATTTCTGCCAGAAGTTAGGATCATCTAATGAAATATCAGTTCTATTTCCAGATGCAACAAAACTAGCCTGCAATAAACATCATCATATTCATTAATGGCATTAAACTGTAATACAGAATGACTATGTTAAATATACACCAAATTATTCTTTTTAAATACTAAGCCCCTCATGTTCAATGTGTGCATCAAAAATGCTTCTAAGTCCATAAATTCACAGAAAATTAAGGCAGCAGCTAAGAAAGGAGATGCTAAAAAAACATTGTAGCCTCCATCAATTTGGTACTGACAAAAAGCACTAAGAGAGTACATCCTGACTGCCAAAAGCTGGATGGTGGACAAGATATAAACTACTGAGAAAAATATTTCAGGATTATTATTGATTCATGCTCTAAAAACTTTGCTAAAACATGTACATGCCAACTCTGAGCTTGCAGAGTTAGAAGGGTTTCTCTATTTAGAAGATACTCCCAGCTCCTTAAAGGGATCAGAACATTTAACTAAATACATAATACTGGCAGAACAGCAGCAGCAAAAATATTCCCATGCACAGAAAAGTGATGGACAGCATCCTCTAAAAGACATTACAAAAAGAAAGTATCTAAATAATCAACTGCAGTATATCCTTGACCAAAAACATGCCATAAGATCAGAGGAAAGAAAACAAGAGCAGGACCTTTCATTTTGAAAAGAAATCTCACAAAGATAATTTGAATCCAGACCTGTCCTACAATCAGGTGTCTAATTAAGAATGATGTTTGGTAAAAATTACCATATATACTCGATCATAAGCCGGTTCGTTTATAAGCCAACACCCCCGAGATGGATAAGTAAAAATGGAAAATGTTTATGACCCATTCATAAGCCAACCCTATAATGCAGGGGTCAGCAAACTTTGGCTCCCGGGCCATCAGGATAAGCTGCTGACTGGCAGAGACAGTTTGTTTACCTCGAGCCCTCCGCAGACACGGAGGAAAACCTAAGTACACGAAGTGTCCCAGCACGCCAACTGCTTACCCTGATGGGCCAGGACAGCAACTGGTGGGGAAATTTGGGGGGGTGGGGGAGAAGCTGGGGATCAGGGAGTAACCCCTGTGACCACCCCCCACATGACACCACCCCTAGCCCGGGGCTCCTGCACTCTCCCTATCCCACCCCTTCCCACCTTATCTGGGGAGGGCCAGGGGAGGACGTCTCTGGCCTGGCTGGAGCTGCTCTGGCAGGCTGGGCAGCGCAGCCGCAGCATGTTCCAGTGGGCCGGGCCGGGCGACCACAGCCTGCTCTGGGGGGCCGGGCGGCGCGGCCACACCCGTGTAGCCAGGTTGAGGGAACAGGGGGAGCGATGCAAAAAAAAAAAAAAAAGAAAAAAAAAAGTGCCACCCACTGCGGCGCTTTTACTCACCCAGCGGCACTCCAGCGGCCAGCCCTCACTCGCTCTGGGTGTCTTTGGCGGCACTGAAGGTCCCGCCGCTGAAGACCTGGAGTGCTGCCGGGTGCGTAAAAGCGCCGTAGCGGGTGGCACCTTTTTTCTGGATCGCTCCCCCTGTTCCCTCAACATGGGAAAATTTAAAAGATGCCAAGAAATTGACAAGGTGCCACTTGTGCTCAGTGGGGGAGCGATCGCTGCCCCGCTCGCTAAGCCACTGGGCCACAGCCTGCTCTGGGGGGCCGGGCCGGGTGGCGTGGCCACAGCCTGCCAGCCTCAGAGCTGCAGCTGCTTCTGAGGCTGGGGGGAGAGCAGCGTAGCCAGAAGCGGAGACACTCTGGACCCGCCTCTTCCCTTCTGGCTCTGCTGCCTCTCCTTGCCCCCTCTGTTGGGGGGAGGGGCTGTGCCCCACCTCTCCCCCTCTCTATACCCATTCATAAGCCAACCCCTTTCTCTGATGCTTCCCTTTTTTACTAAAAAAATTCGGCTTTTGAACAAGTATATACGATATATAGATCTCCATGTGACTGCCAAAGAGATCTCAAGGCAACAACACAGAGAATAGGCCACTCTAACACATCAAAACTGTAATGTGCCATTACATAATGCACCTTTAAAGTCTTCCGCCCCTTACATTCCCTTTTGCAGCAGTTTCTGACCTCCCCCCCCCCCCCCAACCCATAAAACACTGCTACCTTCCTTCGGCAAGCCCAGAAAACTTAAAAGTGCGGTGTGGTCATTTGAAATGTTTCAGATGAGAGGCAGACTAGTGTTTAAAAAAAAAAAGTTGGATGGACTTTCTAAAATGTTTATTTATTCTACGTACCATGTAACTTAGGATACACAAGACATACAGCAAGGTCTCACTGGTATGCATATTATAGCAAAGGAACAATTATAGGCAGGATACAAGGAATTCTGAACATGTATGCTAAACCCAACAAAGGCCCTGATTTTACATATAGCTCCACTTGGGCAAAGGGTTTCACCTGAATGGAGCCCACTGCAGAATCAGGACCTAAATATTTATATTTTTATGTAAAGTGAATGACTCAGTAGTGTTTGTAACCTGTCAATTTTGTAAAAAGACTACATGGCTATGACTCCACAATCATCCCTCAATATATCACCTGAATCTTCAGAGGAGACCTGGAGTGGAATTTTCATAAGTGTATTTCCCTCAGAACTTTTAAAGCAGGAAAGACAGAGCTCTACAAATTTTAACATAAGGAACTACTCAGCACTGACAGGGAGGAAGGACTAGATGACCCCAGGAAGTCATCCTTGCTGCTTTTAATTCCTATGACTAATTTAGCATAACAGAGAAAATAACTCTCTGAAGAGGCCACATCACCACTTAGGGATTTCATCTTACACAGACCTTGTCTACACTACCGGGGTAAGTCAACCTAAGGTACGCTACTCCAGCTACATGAATAATGTAGCTGGAGTTGATGTAGCTTAGGTCAACTTAATGCGGTATCTACACCGTGCTGCGTCAACGGGAGACGCTCTCCTGTTGACTTGCCTTAATCTTCTCGTTCCTGTGGAGTACCGGAGTCGACCAGAGAGCACTCTGTGGTCAATTTATGGGGTCTTCACTAACCCCACTAAATTGACCGCTGCTGCATGGATCGCAGCAGTGTCGATCTCCATTAAGTGTAGACATGGCCATTCAGGTTTCATTTAAGTAGAATACATTAAGGGAATGTTCTGATTTCCAGCCCCTGGTAATTTAAATTAGGGATTTGGGGGCAGTTTAATGCCAAAGACAGACATGCAAATAACACTGGCATGGGAAGAAAAGGTAAATTATGTATAAAAATACTTTTTGGTTGTTCTCATAAAGAAGAGATGATAGCATTAAGCTTCCTGATTCTTCTTTCCTAAGATAGGTTTCACAAGAGAAACCTAACTCCACAATCAATAAGTTTAAATGGATCCTCAATCAATATAACTGCATGCATATTCTGAGATCCATAGAAAGCTAAGTTCTTCTGTCCCCCTCAACCTTTTTCGTTCTTTTTATTTCTGCCACTTCTGTCTGCTATAGTGAATGTTATATGTCAATGGCCTAACCAATTTGAGAAAGTTTATAACTCCCCATAATTCACATTGTTTGTATTCATTCTTGAAATCAAAAAATGCTTTAAAATTATTTTCAAGGGAAGCATTTTAAACAAAGAGATTTAGATGAATACAATTAGAAGTAGCCATAAAATAGCTCAAACATGGCCCTTGCCAATAACCAGCATAGAGTATATTCTATTTTCTGTCTTAAATGTAAATGCTGTCTCTAGCACCAGTAAGAAATTAGTATGGAATTATTTTCCTCAATTCTATCCTTGTCCCACACCCTCAGTTTCTTTTTCTTACATTTTATAGATCTTCATTTCCTCTCCTATACAACCATCCTTGCTTTGCTTTTCAAACACCTAACAAGAAAACAATATGGATAAAGAGATGCCTCTGCATTTCCAGTATAAACCTGAGTTATTCTTTAATCCCATTCAACACTTATTTGCTCGTATGTGCTTTACACCTGCAATGACTGTCTTAGTTTATGTGCTACTGTATGAATAAAGCAAAGCAAAAGTATTCTCAGTAACTGTACGTCCTCTATATCAAAAATATATTAGTAGTCGTTGCTTTTAAAAAAAAAACATAACAAAAATAAACACCAGAAGTACACAGCTATTGTTTTCCCAGCACGTGGTCCATACTTTTGAGTATGCAATTTACTCAATGTATGCCATGCCAATCAGAGATTTTTCCATGTGCACACGTCCATATAGGTCTCTCTCTAGTGACATCAGTATGCAAAATCTCTCAAGTACATACACAAAAGGTAAAGTAGACAGAAGTGTGCGCATGCAAAAGAACAGATGCAACGTGGGCCTCAAATTTAAAAACAAACAGTCCCATGAAATTCTTTGCTGACACAAAGTTCTACAAATCTCACATTCTGAATCTAAGCAACAATAAGAATTTTCTTAAATAAAAGGCAGAGTAGCATGATCAAATGGAAAACAAGTTGCTGCTACTGTACCTTGGCAAACGTTGAACCCCTTCCTTCGGATTCAATTGTGATAGTTTTCGTACGGCGCTGCAAGATTTGGTCTATGTCTTCTTCACAGAATTTAGAGCCCTCATCCTCTTCATCCATAATAGCACCATAGGCACCCCTTCGAAGCAGGTCTTCTATTTCTTTTTTGGAAAGCTGTTGGATCTGTACAAATAATTAAAGGTGTTTTTGTTTTAATTTGTTGTAAAAATGGATGAAAAATTCACAAAAGCATATGTGCAGTATTTTTTCTACCTACTTCCATGACCAATATTTTTATAATTAAGTTAACCTTTCAGATTTGTAGATTTAGTATCTACCTTTTTATAATTAAACAATAAAAACAATAAAGTGATAAATACAATTATATTAAATTTATATAAATATTATTATAGCATATTTCGTGTACCCTTGCGTCTACATTTGGGCACCTATTGAGTACCTTGATGAATCAAGGCTTTATTATATGTCATGATTCATGTGGGACTCGGGGAAAAAATAGCTTTGTGCCCTAGTTTAATCAATATCTAAAGATGTATATGATCACCAGTATAACTCAATTAACTCTTCCTTTACCAAACTACGATATATCAAGGTTTGATTGTGGAGCTAATGTAGTCCTGCCTTCTTCCATACAAACAGAAAGCTGCACAGAAAATGAGATAGGAATCCTGTCTCACTGTTGTGAAGAATTTGAAACGAATGTTGTGAAATGTGAAGCATAATACTTTAATGATTCTAGGTTCATGGTCTGGCATAATCTGTACAAATAAAATAAATAAAGCCTATACCATTTAAAAAAAAAATGTGGAAAGCAAAATATTTCACTTTTTCAGATACGTCACCAAGGCAATTATCTACCCTGTGGTTTAACAAGAAAAGATGGAGGAAGTAGTCTGTGCAAGAGTTCAAAGCAAATTTATGGCTAAGCTTTTGAAGACATTTCCAAATGTTCATCTTTGCCTTCATCAGAAAGCATCACATAGCTATGCACACAATTAAAAAAAAAAAGGCCCAAGAAAAAAGTTAAAATTAATTAAGCTGTTTCCTTGCAATTACAAAAGTAGCTTTAAAAATGGTAGTTATTCTGGCCAAAAACAAAAAGTCTACATACACCACCAACACTATTTTCTCTTCCACTCATGCTCTGTAAGACAGCTTTATCCAGACCCAATTTCAGACTTGCTCTGTCAAACATCTCTCTCTCATATGAGTTCCGAGTTATCAATCTGTAGACCTTTACTGCTTTGTTCTGACCAATCCTGTGACAACGGGCTTGGGCCTTTGAAAGAGGAAACAAAAATAAAATCAGGTTTCTGCCTAGGAGCAAGATATATTCCTTCATCTAAGAAACCTGCTGCGTTATAAAGTAATCTTAAAGGAACACAGTCTACTTGAAAACAAATCAATGTTTTTAAATGGAAGTCGTACAAATACAGAAGAGGTCTGGAAAGTTAAAAGTAGTCTTGAAAAGATTGATTAGTAGGAAGAATGCAGGTGAAGTGGTCTAAGTTGCATGATATCATGTTATTTAGCTCATAATTAAATCCTATCTATATATTTGTTCACAGTACTGATCTCTCCACATCACTCCAGTCAGATGCTAGACAAAGTCATTTGAGGATTTCTGAGATTTTGATTCCACTTCCTTTTCCTTAAATTCGGTCCATTTTCTAGGTGATCTTACAACTGAAACATTTTTGTGCTAATCTAAACAGAAGGTTTCTAGTTTTAATTTTAATCAATTATTTCTAGTTTTAATAAGTGATGAAAAATCTCTCCATCTTTGCATTATTCTTTTATCTACTTGTATTAAGAGTCATCTCTTTCTTCCCCTATGTCCTTAATGGATAACTTCAGTTTTCTGAACTTGTACATATTTTATTAGTTCAAATTTCTCTTGTGTGTACCCCCACAACCCTTTTTGTATACTAAATAGTCCTCTTGATACAATCTTCAGTTATTCTATATGATACGCAGCAGAGTGTCCACAACTGTATGGCAAATCCCAGCTGTAATCTAAAGAGCATGATGTAAATAAGGAGACACGTCCCCCCCCGATTCTTACATGTGATACCTCTAATTATAATTCCATGATTATATCTACTTCTTCACTTCAACATCACTTCACATATATTATTAACTTTTCTCTATTATTTACACAAAGTAATTTTTCTGCACTGATAATGAATAGCCAGCCACTGGCTTTCCACTGCAATTTTTGTGTGTGGATAGTTTCTGAAAGTCATTCCCACTCCTTCTCTAACACTATGAGCATCACAGAAATAACTGAAACTTAGCATAGGCCCAAATTCTTCTCTAGTTCTACTATTATAAATCCAGAGCAGTTCCATTAACATTTATTCAATTAATTATGTATGAGAGAGTAAAATCTGTCCCCCAATGTGTTCTGTGATATCCTCAAAACCTTCAGAGTTTTATAATCTCACTAATAGTTTGCCTGTATTGCACTTTATATACTGCAAATTTATTATGATTTAAGCAGAGAACTAATTTTATTAAATGAATAAAGAAAGTCTATTTTGAATATTTTTGGGGAGAAACAGGAAAAGTTAAAGAAGAAAGCCTTTCAAAATTTACATTTGTATTCGGATTTCAAGACAATTACAGAAAATGGGATGGAAAAATATAGCTCTGATTATCAAAGAGACAGTCCAGCCAAATACAGTTGATCTTCTGTTTGTATACTGTAATCCTATTGTAAAAAAAAAAAAAAAAAAAAAAAAAAGCTCTGTTATACTGTTACTGAAATATACAGCATGGTGGTTTTTATGCTCCAGTTATAACCTCAAATGAATTTACCTGGAGATCATTCTGAGGATTCCAGTCAGAATCAAAAATTATACATGTATCAGCTGCAGTCAAATTAATGCCTAATCCACCAGCTCTGGTACACAGAAGAAACACAAACCGATCAGAGTCTGGTTTGCTAAACCGATCAATAGCAGCTTGCCTCAGATTTCCTCTCACTCTCCCATCAATTCTTTCATATAAGTACCTAGAAAGTGCAAAAGAAACCCCTTATTTAGAAAAACAGGTATTACAAAAGCACAGTTACCTATCTATTATCTACAATAGAAAAAAGTTATCTTTGCTTTCTATTTACCTCTCATGAACAGCACTGATTTGGATACACAGGTGAATGCAGCTAAACACAGGGATGGATTTATATGGCCAGCTGCAACTTTCTTACTTTAACACTGGGAAAGTGTGCTATCTGTCCCGACTTGCATGTACCAAACATTTAATTGGATCCAATGAGGGGATTACAGGGCTCCCACCATATAACCCATAACTCAGCCCACACTTCTGAATCATCTCTCATACTCCCAGAGAGGGTATCAAAAGTGAAATCTCGGTATGCAAAGCTTTCAGGTCTTTCCTTCTCCCATAGGCCTGAGGTCCACAAATGAAATCTCACGTCTCTTTTACTTGTGGGAGCTGGCCATCTGGCCTTTATCCATACTGGATACTGGCTGCAAGTTGCGACAAATTAAACATTCCTACAAATGACTAATATTGATTTCTAAGTCCTATGTCTATTTAATTAAACTGTACTTCCATGATGCTGCAAGGAGGGTGAAAAATACCATCAGGCCTCTGACAATTTGGCCCCAACAGGAAAAACTCCCTACACATTAACATGTGTGATCATCATAAAAACACAGCTCCTATGCTATAATTACAGGGACGGAGGGTAGAGCAGCAAAATGGGACAAGAGGCTCCAAAAGACGCAGGCAGAAGTTTAAATTAATGAAGGGAAGGACAAGGAGTTAGCTTCCATTTTCCTCTGGCTGCCCAATCGGAGGCAGTGGGGCCCCACTCCGAAAGTCCCACTCCCTCTGGAGCTGTCTACCACATTTCAAGTCTTTAACAGGGCTCACAAAATGAGTGCAAATTATAACATACTTTGGTTTCGTATTGTAATATGCTAAATTGTCTCATCACATACGGGATTATTGGGTAATCAGTATAAAGCAATGTTTAGATAACTGTCACTTGAGAAACCAGTATTGCATTGTGAACAAGTATTCCTTCTAAAAATAAATGAGTCTTTCTTTAAATTTTAGCCCGGTTTATATTTGATTAGCATTTTTTTTTTTTGCAAAGTGTTGAACATTAGCCTAACTGTAATATGTAATAATTTCTATTAAATTCTAAACTAATAATTTTGTTCTATCAAGCTCTCAAGACCAAGCAAACTGGAACAAGAATAAAGTCAACCCCCCCCCCCCAAAGTCTTTAAAGAGGCACCAGTGAAACTACGTTTTCCTTAAGAAAAGCTGACAAAATGAAAAACCTAGTTAAATTATTGCTCCTTTATTAACTTTTATAATTACAAAGACTCTTGTACTCTTGCTGTAATATCAAAATATATGTGCTTTGCTCCCACATCTTAAACCATAGAAAGACCACATGCAGAGAAATAAGCGGAGTAAACTGCAAAATTTGTATTTAATTGTCAGTAGAAAGCTTCACAAGCATTTTTCCCCCTTGCTGACCAACCATAAAATGGCACAGCAGATAATCCACAGGCATTCTGGCAGTCAGCCATGTTTCTGGTGTAATGCATTTTGTCATGTATTAACTCTGACAATTCTAACCAAAGAGCAAAGCCAAACAAGTTCATACCTCTATGGCATTCAAAAGAGTCAACCTGTTCAGATGCTGCACTAGTCTATGTATTATTTGCTTATAAAACAAGAAACATCTTTTTATACACATTTTTAAACAATATCACAAAATCATATGAATTGAAATCAAGATACTGATACAAGCTGAATTCCTCCTTGTGAGTAATTGCTAATTTGTACCGCAAGCATTGAAAAAAAAACATACAACTACGGTCCTAAATAAAATTGCATCATAAAGGTTATTAAATATATAAAATGCAAAGTCTTTCCAATATATTTTTGCATGCAGTGTGAAACATTAGCTATATATAAGAATGGTACCAACTTTGCTTTTTTTTTTTTTTAATTTTAGTAGGTTGCAATCATTTATCAAAAAGATATCCCTGTTGAGAACAGCACACAGAGTTTATGAAATATGTAGCATTCTACCTTTTATGTATAAGGTAGTCCTCAAGGATGTCAAGACAGCGCACCATTTGAGAGAAGATAAGCACCTTATGGCCTCCTGCTTTCATTTTTGGAAGAAGTTTATCAATGAGGACCAATTTACCAGCAGACTGGATCATTGCTTGTAGATGAAAATCAGGAGCAGTTGGGATATATGTTTCCCTAAACTCCCCAAGGATTTTCTCTTCAGCACCTGTCAAATAATAAAAATATATGACTAATCTCAAAAGAAATGGTGGTTGTTGTTTTTTCACCCACACAACAAGTTAATGATCACACAGATTGGTTAACCCACTCTATTTCACTGTTTAACTGTTCCCTTTGGGGCAAATTCTGTCCTCCAACCACAGCCATTTTTAAAAACAAAAACAAAACAAAAAACACAACACAACCCAAACCACACATTACAGGCTACAGCTGTAAGTAAAGACAGATTTTTTCCCACAGGAGGGAGCATAAATGGAAATCTTGGGAGGGATTCCCCCTCTCCCCACAAGCCACGCTCCCATATGCTGATGTGACAGCACAAAGGGACAAGAAAAGCCCCCTTACTTGGCTTAGGGAGAATTCCCCTAGCAATGGCTCTCCATAAGGCTTAGGGTTGCCACCCCTCCCAGACTGGCCGGAATCTCCTGAAATCGGAATCGATCTCCTGGTGGCTACTGAAACCAGTCCAGGAGATTTTAATAGGCCAGTTGGAGCCGTGGCAGCAGTGCCTGCAGGCAGGGGAACTAGGAGCCGGATATGACAGTCACTTCCGGAAGCAGCCCAAGGTAAGCGCCGCCTGGCTGGAACCCGAACCCCAAACTCCCTCCCACATTCCAACCCCTTGCCCCGGCCCTGAGCCCCGTCCCGCACCCAAACTCCCTCCCAAAGCCAGCACCGTGCACCCACTTCTGTGCCTGAAGCCCCCTCCCACACTGCAAACCCCTCTGCCCCACCCCCCAGCCCAGACCCCGCACTCCCTCCCACGCCCAACCCCTTTCTCCAGTCCGGTGTAAGTGAGGGAGGATGGGAGGGGAGGAAGAGGAGAGAGTGAGCAAATGAGGGAAGGGGGACGAAGTGAGTGGGTGGGTGGCCTTGGGAAAGGGCGGGGACAGGGATGTTGCCTTGGGGAAGTGGCGGGGCAGGGGTGTTTGGGTTTGTGCAATTAGACAGTTGGCAACCCTAGTAAGGCTGCCATTAAAATCCTGTTGTAGGAGGCATGCTGGGGGCAGTAAAGGTATATTTGGTGTCAGGAGAAGTGTGCTGCAGAAATTCTAGAAGAGTAGATATCTATACATAGCTAGGGATGAGCTGTCTAAGAGGACGGGAGGGTCACATTGGCCTTCAGAACAGTCCAAAATAAAGAAGACACACAGATGGCTTAAAGAGACAGAGCACATAATCACACCTGTCTGTCTATCTTTCTGAGTGGCCCTAAATTCATCAGGCCAAATTCACATTTTATGTACCTCCTCTGATGGCTACAGATTTCAACTAAGTTACACCTGGGCTGAATGGAGTAATTCATTTTAAAGTTAGTTATGACAAAAAGAGAAACAATATTTGGGCACATTGTTTCAGAGAATGGAATTTAAGGAACAGCAGTTGGCCTTATCCCATCAGAAATTTGAGTATACCCGCCGAAATAATTTACAAAGGTTTCAGAAACATTGTATTAACACAAAACTACCTTTTCACACTATAGGTTCACAGCTACAACATTCATAACCAATACAATTGTAATTACTGATTAAAACAAAGCCACTGGTAGCTAAGAATTTTGTTTTTTTGAAACCAGAAGAGCATAGAAAAGAAGAGATTACTCACCTTGTGGAAAAAGAAAAGGAGTACTTGTGGCACGTTAGAGACTAACAAATTTATTTGAGCATAAGCTTTCGTGAGCTACAGCTCACTTCATCGGATGCATTCAGTGGAAAATACAGTGGGGAGATTTATATACACAGACAACATAAAACAATGGGTGTTACCATACACACTGTAACCAGAGTGATCACTTAAGGTGAGCTATTACCAGCATGAGCGGGGGGGGGGGGGGGTAACACAGGGACGTCGACGGACCTTTTCTAGTGATTATCAAGGTGGGCCATTTCCAGCAGTTGACAAGAACGTCTGAGGAGCAGTGGGGGGTTGGAGGGGGGAATGAACATGGGGAAATAGTTTTACTTTGTGTAATGACCCATCCACTCCCCGTCTTCATTCAAGCCTAAGTTAATTGTATCCAGTTTGCAAATTAATTCCAATTCAGCAGTCTCTCATTGGAGTCTGTTTTTGAAATTTTTTGTTGAAGTATTGCCACTTTTAGGTCTGTAATCGAGTGACCAGAGAGACTGAAGCGTTCTCCAACTGGTTTTTGGATGTTATAATTCTTGACATCTGATTTGTGTTCATTTATTCTTTTACGTAGAGACTGTCCAGTTTGGCCAACGTACATGGCAGAGGGGCATTGCTGGCACATGATGGCATATATCACAGTGGTGGACGTGTAGGAGAACGAGCCTCTGAAAGTGTGGCTGATGTGATTAGGCCCTATGATGGTGTCCCCTGAATAGATATGTGGACACAGTTGGCAACAGGCTTTGTTGCAAGGATAGGTTCCTGGGTTAGTGGTTCTGTTGTGTGGTTGCTAGTGAGTATTTGCTTCAGGTTGGGGGGCTGTCTGTAAGCAAGGACTGGCCTGTCTCCCAAGATCTGAGAGAGTGATGGGTTGTCCTTCAGGATAGGTTGTAGATCCTTGATGATGCGCTGGAGAGGTTTTAGTTGGGGGCTGAAGGTGATGGCTAGTGGCGTTCTGTTATTCATAGGGCCTAATCACATCAGTCACACTATCAGAGGCTCATTCACCTTCACATCTACCAATACGATATAAGAAGATGGGTGAAGGAGGGTGGGTAGTGGAGAACCCATAGGTGGACATATTTTAAAGAAACAGTTAGTACACAAACCGAGTAACAACTTCTTTTTTGAATAGTGTCTTTATGAGTGCTCCACCTCAGGTGACTTCGAGCAATATTTCCAGATGGAGGAGGCAGCTTCAGAATAGTTCAGAACTGAAGACAGTACTGCAGAATCAAGTGTCAAATCAGATCTGATGGAATGGATCAAGACGTAATGTTTTGAAAACGTAAGTACTGAAACTCATGTACAGGCTCTATATATTTCAGATACCAGCACTTTCTTTTATAATGCTGTAGATCTTGCTTGTGATCTGGCTGAATGTGCTAACACCCTTTGGGGGGAATGAGCACACACAGCATCATAACAAGCAATAATACCAGATATCCATCTCAACAGTCTCTGAGCAGAGATCAAGGACCCTTTGATCTATCTGCAAAGGAAATGAAGAGCCTATGTGACTTCCTAAATTTTTTCATCCTATTTAAGTAGAAGGCCAATGCCCTTCAAAGATCCAGGGCATGTAAATAGAATTCCTGTAGAGAACTATGTGGCTTTGGGGAAAACACTGGAAAATGAATGGACTGATTAAGGTGGAACTCTGATAGAACCTCAGGTAAGAATTTAGAGTAGGGACATAAGGACACCTTGTCCTTAAAGAACGCTATAAAGGGGAGGTTCTGCCATCAAGGCTCCAATCTCCCGATCCAACAGCCTACATGATGACTACTAAAAAGGCCATCTTCATAGACAAATGCAACAGAGAACAGGTTGCCAGTGGTTCAAATGGAAATCTTACAAGGTCACTGAGTTCAAGGTTAAGGTCCCAGGTTAAAGCAGGGTTTCTAGTCTGCGGACAGAGATTCCCCAAACCCTTAATAAACCTATACAATATTGGATGAGCAAATACAGACAATCCTTCTACCAGAGGATGAAAGGCTGATATTCTGGCCAAATGGACCTTAATCAAACTAATTTATAACCCTGGTTTCTTTAGATCCTACAGATAAACCAGGATGACTGAAAGTGGCACCAAATCAGGCAGGAGGCAACAACGACAACACGAATGGAAGAATCTCTTCCATTTCTGCAGGTAAGTAGTGAGGGTTGATCTGTTTCTATTATTCAGTAACACCTGTTGTACAGACTAACACGGCTGGTACTCTGAAACCTGTTGTACTTACGTAGAGCAGGAGGATTCTAACCTCATGAACCATTGAGGAGCCACACCTTGAGGCAGAGAATTGCTAGGCTGGGATGAAGCACATGACCCATATCCTATAACAGAAGATGAGTAATGGACGGAAGCTCAAACGATGGTTGGGTACATAGGTGAAACAGGTATGGGTACCAAACTTGTCTCAGCCACGTCAGCACTATAAGGCTAACTCCGGCTCTGTCTTGTCTGATCATGTTCATCACACTTAGTATCAGCAGCATTGGAGGAATTGCATAGAACAGACCCTTCTTCCAAGGAGTGGTGGCCCAGATCCCCTCTTGTGCAGGAAAGAGAAGACTTCCTATTCCTAGCGGTAGTGAAGAGATACACCTCTGGCAGTCCCCATCTTATGAATATGCTGAGGAGAAACTGGTGTCTAGATCCCATTCATAATTCTGTGAGAACTGTCTGCTGAGGAATTGTTGTTCTGAATACCTTGGAGGTAGATCTCTGAAATTTGGATCTGATGAGCTATGTACCAATCCCATAGCTTCATGGGTTTGGCACGCTGGAAGGAGGATCTTGCTCCTCCAAGCTTGTTGATATAGAACATGCAGGATATGTTGTCCGCCGTGACCCAAATTGATTTGCCCTGATGAGGGGTAGGAAATGAAGGAAAGCATTCCTGACAGCCCTGAGCTCCAACAAATTGAGGTGAGTTCCCCATTTCAACTGTGATGCATCAGTCACTTAAGGGGCTGGGTGACGGAAAGGGACTCTCACACAGATATTGAGTTAATTTTTCCATCAGTCTAAGGAGTTCCTCACACATAGAGAAACTGTCATCTATCTATCCAGTGGGTCTCTGACTGGAGAACTGGTCATTCTGAGCCAACCCTGGAAGCAGCAGAGACATAGCCCTGCATGATTGGTCCAAAGGTTCAAGCTGCCATGTGTCCCAGGAACTGAATTTCTATTGTGGTTCAACGGTCCCCTGAATTGCTCACCCCAGACCTGACAAGGTTACAAATCTGTCTAAGGAAGGTAGTCTCTGGCTGTCAACAAATCCAAATATGCCCTTATAAACTGTATCTTCTGTACAGGGGTTAATATGGATTTTTTTTTACATTAAGCTGCAGACCCAACTCCTGGTACAGAGCAAGGGCCATCTGGATGGAAGACAGCACTGCTTCGCAGGAATGGTTGCCAAGGTACAGGAAGACTTGGATCGCTTCTTGTTGGAGGTAAGCAGCCACTACTGCCAGGACTTTCGAGAACGCCATTGAGACTGAGGAAAGGGCAGCACTCAGTATGGGAAATGATCTTGGGACTACAGTGAAACATTGGTATTTCCTGTGCAATGGGTGAATCTTTATATGAAAATAGACATCTTGTTGGTCGAGGGCCAAAAATCAATCCCCCTTCTCTAGTGAAGGAATTATAGCTGCCAGAGTTACCATCCTAAACTTCTCAGACTTTACAAATTTGTTTAGAAGTCTTAGATCTAAGATCGGTCTCCACCCTGTGTCCTTCTTTGGTGCAAGGAAATACGTAATCCCTTGTGTTTATAAGCTCCTAAATTCAAAAAAAGTTCACTTCTTGCCTCGATAAAAGTTTGTGAGAGGAGTCCCTGAAGAGGAATGGGGTGGAAGAGAGGGAGTGATATAAAATGGATGGTTTAACCAATGTTATGACTCCTATGACCTACTTGTCAGCAGTGAACTGCCTCCAAACATACTGAAAATAGGCAAGGCAGTCTCCAAAGTGGGAGAGGTGGGCTAATGGGCACAGCTGTCAATACAGAGATGCAGGGGGATTCAAACCCTGGATAGGTGGTCACAGAGGGTGGCTGGGCGTCCCTCTCTCTCTGAAATCTAGGTCTCTTTCTGGGTGGTTTGGTGGATTTAGGGAATCTGGAATCAGAGTCCTTCAGATTCTGCAATGACTCATGTTTTCCAAGAACAGTTTATGACCACTGAAGGGAAAGTCACATCACAAATGGTGATGTGTTATTGCAGGATCGTATTAACTAGTCTAGGAGACATGACTAATGTAAACCTTGGGAAGTGCTTTGTGCATCAAAGGACTCTTTTCAACAATGGCCTAAGACAAAAACAAACTGTTAGTTTAAGTAGGTTTCCCAGGAAATCTCTAGGAGGAGGGGCAAGCAAATGCACGCACTCTGCTCAAGCAAGAACTCTGCCTTTGAAGCTTTGCCTACAGGAAGGAAACTTTTGTCTGCTGACCACCTGTTACATGAGGACAGATCAAAGACCCAAAAACTATTTAAAGAAGTAACTCCCAGTTTAACAAGTGATCTTGTTCTGAGAAAAAGAAGTTATGAACTGGTAACCCCAGAAAAAACCCTTAGTGGGGTCTGAAGGACTGTTCACTGGCCAGAGTCCTTGTTGGAGTAGAGGTGATCTCTGGTAAGCTTATTAGCATCCTTGCATGTATTTTTATTGTTTTAAATATATTTTCTCTGTAATGCTTTTACCTTAAGAATAAACACGCTTGCTTAGACAGAGCCATGTGGTAACCGAACTGTGGCAACTACATTGTTTACTTGCTCTGTGGAAAAAAGAAAAGCAGGCCTGCTTAGGCAGTCTGACTTTGCTGGGGAATTCCCAGTCTAGGCCGGGAGCTGTGCAGACTGGAAACACCATGGTCAGGAAGGAGAGACATGCATGTCTCTGCTAAGAGAGGCAATACTCGGGAGCCAGAAAATTAAGAGTGGGTGCCTTGGCTAGACTATAGAGGGGAACTACAGGTGCAGTTGCCCTGAACTGTGACACCAAGAAGGAAGTATATCAACTGAAAAAGTCAGTCTTTTAATTTATAATGTTTTACCTTTGATAAGATAAGGGTGGTTGCAGCACTTTCTGAGTTCCATCATAGTGTTAACTAGATTGGGTACATTAGCTTGGCCAGCTCCTTTTGACAAGAATGCAAAGTTCTTCTCCAAAATTGCCCGATAATATTTCTTCTGGATATTAGTTAGTTCTACTTCAATTATAGTTTCTTCCTTGGGAGCTAACTTTTTCTCTACATCTTCCTTCAACCGTCTCAGCATCATTGGTTTCAGGATAGCTTGTAACTTTTGCACCTGAATAAAATATATATATATAACTGGAATGTATGCAAAGGTAACAAAGAAGCTTAATTTAACATTTTACAATCTACATTACCTGCTTGCCAGATTTACATGAAATATTTGCTTGGAAGGGACATAGTCTCACTCTCAGAGACAAGTTACCAAAGTAATTTTTCAAGTGCTCTGATTAAGAAAGGAAGCTTTTAGCATTTGTCAGCAGACAACCTGGCCTCAAAGAGGAAGAACTTGAATTTCCATTAATCTTATTCCTTTATTTATCATAGCCACATAATTTGTTATTTAATAGGAAAAAACGAATTATTTAATACCAAATAAATAGCAAATCTTTACAGGTTATATTTCATTTAGAGATGTTTGTTCTGTGCATCAAATTTGTGATGCTAAGTACACGTCCTTGGCTTGCTTAAAAATTTGAGAGGGTGAACCCTCTCTTTACCGTCTTGTGTCATGAAGTGAAATTAAATATCTATATGAAGAACTGATCTGCGTGACGGTTGATAGTAAGTTAGTCACCCAAATTCTTTTGGCACTGACTGAAAGGGCAGTGGAGGCAGAAAGGATTTAAGTATAATCCATTTATAAACCATAGTATTAAAGAGAAAAACAAAACAAAAAACATCCTCAAATTATTCACTCAAATTGGTATTTTGCAAGTAGAAAATTAAGAAGTTGTTTATATGTAGTACCTGCTCCTCCGTTTTAAGGTCCCCAAATTCCTGCATGAATGTAGATTCAGCAGGAAAACGCAAAGGTTCAAGAAAATGAAGGAGGCTAAACAGTTCTTCTACTGTGTTCTGCAGTGGCGTGCCTGTCAACAGCACTTTGTGCTCCTATATAAAGACATAGATGTCACATGAAATTCTTATGTGCACAGTTAGCAAAATGTTTTTTTTTTTTTGTTTCTGAGCACTAACATCGAATTGATTTCAGTACACAAGCACTAGAGATCTGATGGTTTATAAACAAAAGGAAGAGCATCAGTAAGCAAACTATTTGAGAACCAGAATTTCTCTAAACTTTACATTAATATCATGTGTCCAGTGGTCTATGGCTAAGATACTATGTTAATAAACTTCAAACTACATTATTAATCTGTGAACAAAAAACTCTTGTTACAGCCAAGTAATAAAGAAATAGTTACACACTTTATTTCCCTCTTTCTAATATTCACATACACTTCTCTCTCAATAATTACTGAAGTTTATAGTAGAAATTAGAATACCAAATTTGACAGTTGATACATTTAGTCTAGTACTGTGCTTCTGACAGCAGGCAATATCTAATGCTTCAATGTAAAGTAAAAATTTATAAACTCAAAAAAATCCCATAATGCATCTAGTCATTTGTGCATTATAATACATGAATAGTCAATGGCAATGAATTCCTTTTAGAACCTTCCAGGAGACCAGACCATGGCCTCAGGCATAAGGTGTTATAACCCTTAAATCTTAAGCAAGTAAGTTGCAAACATATAAGCAATATCATCATCCAGTTCCTTTTAAAGGTGTCAATATTTGTGTATACTAAGAAGTTGAAAAATACTGTATAAATAAGAACTATGATTGCAGTTAAAACTCTGATTCAAAATAAATTAAGCTATCAGAAACAGATCTAGTAAAATGGATTCTGCTTATGCAAGTTGCATTTCAATCCCACAAAACTATATTTGAAAAGGTTTCTGAAAATTGTACACCTTAAGCTGCGAAACTATCAGTAGTGGAATAATAAAACTTTCATAGCTGCCCACATATAAAACACGCTCTTTATGTCTAACAATTAAACAGCCTTATAATTTATTGTAGTATTCTCCCGAACAGGAAAGAAATCTCATTAAACCAAGTAAATGAAATGCAGCCACTCACAAGATTCATGAGTTTGAGTCCCTCCAGAAGTTTGCAATTTTTATTCTTCAGCCTGTGCGCTTCATCAATAATAACACACCGCCATTCAATTGCATTGAGTTCTGGACAGCCACCAAGAATCATTTCAAAAGTGGTGATAATAGCTTGGAACCGGTAAGTACCTCGAATGATACGCCCCTAGAGATTTATTAACAAACGTAACAGTTTGTCACATTATCTTGAATCTTCTCATTTTTCATTCTCAAGTTGCCAGTTTTGCTACTGAAATATAATCCAGTAGTGTTTTAAATCTTGAGGTATAAATCCTTTTCATCTTACCAGAGACTCACTACGATTGTGCAATTCTATAATTAATACTAAATGAATAACTGTCCATTTTCAGTAATGCTGTGTTGTTTCATGGACAATAAATTTCTAACCAATTTGAGTTGCTTTTCAATCATTAAGTGTCCTATCAAATAGAAGCATTTAGATAATAACACACTCTTATCATCTGAACAAAAGGCTATCTTAAGCATCTACAAAATGGAATCTAGACAATCAATCATAATACTGGATGGGACACCATTATGCACTAGTAAACTGTAAAAATTGCATATCAGCCACTCAGAATCAACTTATTCATAAAAATTCAACATTTAAAAACCCCTGTAATTTTAGCAATATATATGTCCGTTCTGCAGAAAGGCAGAATACAATAGTTCACACAGTATAGTGAGCAACTATCACTGTCACAGCCTATTGCACCAAACCTCAGTCACACACTTCATATCATTCAATATAACAAAAAACATTTTAAATAGAACTTTGCCTAAAAGAAAGTTCATACAACATGGTTTTCCTGTTTTGGATCAACATTTTGGTTTTGAAAACAAATGTTTCCCTTATATTTTTATATTCTGCAAAACCTTGATCTTTATATAGAAGAAAAAAGAGTAGAGTAACTCCTCGCTTAAAGTTGTAGTTATGTTCCTGAAAAATGCTACTTTAAGCACAACCATGTCAAGCGAATCCAATTTCCCTACAAGAATTAATGTAAATAGGAGGGGGTTAGGTTCTAGGGAAATTTTTTTTCACCAGACAAAAGACTATATTATATACACACACACACACACACACATATATACACACACACACACGGTATAAGTTTTAAACAAACAATTTAATACTGTATACAGCAATGACGATTGTGAAGGTTGGTTGAGGTGGTGAAGTCAGAGGGTGGAAGAGGGTGGGATATTTCCCAGGGAATGATCTTACTGCTAAATGATTAACTTGCACTGGCTGAGTGCTCAAGGGTTAACACATGGTTGTTAATGTAGCCTCACACTCCACAAAGCAGCACGAATGGAGGGAGGGGAGACAGCGAGATAGAGAGACACACCATGTGTGATAGGTTTCAGAGTAGCAGCCGTGTTAGTCTGTATTTGCAAAAAGGAGTACTTGTGGCACCTTAGAGACTAAAATTTGAGCATAAGCTTTCGTAAGCTACAGCTCACTTCATCGGATGTAAGTAATCTAGTTAGATATGCGTTAGATTCTGTTTTGTTTAAATGGTTGATAAAAAGTTGTGCTGAATGGAATGTATATTCCTGTTTTTGTGTCTTTTGTAACTTAAGGTTTTGCATAGAGGGATTCTCTATGTTTTGAATCTGATTACCCTGTAAGGTATTTACCATCCTGATTTTACAGAAGTGATTCTTTTACTTTTTCTTTAATTAAAATTCTTCTTTAAGAACCTGATTGCTTTTTCCTTGTTCTTAAGATCCAAGGGTTTGGGTCTGTGTTCATCTATGCAAATTGGTGAGGATTTTTATCAAGCCTTCCCCAGAAAAGGGGATGTAGGGCTTGGGAGGATTTTGGGGGGGAAAGACGTTTCCAAGCGGCCTCTTTCCTGGTTATATATTTATTAGACACTTGGTGGTGGCAGCAATAAAGTCCAAGGGCAAAAGGTAAAATAGTTTGTACCTTGGGGAAGTTTTAACCTAAGCTGGTAAAAATAAGCTTAGGGGGTTTTTCATGCAGGTCCCCACATCTGTACCCTAGAGTTCAGAGTGGGGAAGCTACCTTGACATGGAGATGCACACTGCCCCTTTAAGTACTCTGACTCCTCTCTAAGTACACTACTTTTTTAAGTAGATCAGCAAGTTGAGAGAGCAGCTGCTGCCAGCAAGTTGCCTCCCTCCTGAGCCCTGTCATGTCCCCACCTTGCTCTGTGGAGATGGGGAAAAGGAGTGGCAGGGAGGAGACACCCTGACTTTAGCACCCCTTTCCCCATTCTCTCCCTCCCTCCCCCCACACAGCAAGCAGGAGGCTCCTGGGAGCAGCTGCAAGGGATAGGGCAGGAGCAGCACAAGGCAGTGGGGGGAGGGACAGCTGAACTGCCCGGCAATTGATAGTCTGCTGGGCGGCTGTCACACAGGGAACTTAGGGGAGCGGGGAGCTGATAGGGGGCTGCCAGTCCACTCTGGTTTCAACCCCCACCAGCTAGCGCCAATGGGCTGCTCTGTCTGCAAGCAGTGGACAAAGCAGGCTGCTGCCAAACAACATTATTAGGAAGCATTGCGCAACTTTAAATGACCATCTTCTCTAATTGATCAGCAAGGTAACAAAGAAACAACATTAACCAGGACAACATTAAGTGAGGAGTTACTGTATTATCCTGTAACAGTTCCATTGATATTACGGCCTTCCCGCCACAGGCACCAACGCTGCAAGTTGTTCAATGGGCTCTGTTCAGGCACAGGGGTCCACCTGGGAAGAGCCCAAATGAACTACTTTCACCACTGTGGCCTAGATCAGAGTCCTGGATTACTTATTTTGCTAAGACTGCCATATTGTTTATATCTCAGAGCACCTTTAATGAAAACATTATGTATTGCTCTTGGAAGAATTATTAATGTACAAATAAAATGATCAATCACATTATGTAGGCACTGATCCTGACTCCATAGTTAAGGATGAATTCATATCATACATATCGCAACAAATAAAATACATCAGTGAACTACTGTAAACTTCATAGGCCATCAGATTATTGTTTCTTTGGGTTCTGGGAATCTAGAACTGCTCCGTTTAGTTTCACTTATAATTTTGAAAATGAAGTAAACAGAAAGGTGGGGGAAAATTTTTTTTCTCAGACCTTCTTTACACAGTATGAAGTAGTAAAATAGGACACAAGTCAATTTAAAAATATCTTTTCCATGTTACATTTGATGTTTAGAATTTAGGTTTTGTATTTTGAAAAAACTATAAAACCAAATATAAATGTAAATTTAATTAATATTTTTAAATGAAAAAAATGCCTCTCTCAGGAAGTAAAAAATGGCCTTTGTAATGCTGGAAATAGCACACAAGAATCAAACAGTTTAGTCTAAGACAGGGCATATGCAAAAAGAAAGAACGTAAATGATGAAAATGAAATCAAATTTTTTTTTTAGTTATTTCAATAAAACACAAGTTACTAGTAATACATGTAAATTTTTTAATATATACAATTTGGATCTCAGTAGTGTTCATTTAAATCTTGAAAGGGAATTAATAGCCTTATACAAAGCAAGTAAATTAATTTTCTTTGAGACTATGTAAAGCTTGGAGAACTTCACTTTCTTTTCCATCTACTCTGCAAATTCAGGCCCAGATCCTGCAGTTGACTATATTTGGGCTCACCCTCGCCTCCCCATAGAGCCCTACTGAAGTCAGTGATGGGTTACACCATGCATAGTCAAGTGCAAAATTGGAGGGGCTCAATGATCTAGAGGAGCTGGAACAATACCAATTTTACCACATATATTAAACTCACCCATTATCACACACTAAAGATTGATAAATAGTAATTAAAAATATATACTCTGATGTAAAACGGCTTTTACTAAGACACATACCACTGATCTCTACCGTGTGATTTTCCTAGTTGTTATCTGAACTGGGTTACTAAGTTAGCCAGTAAGCTAGTGTACAAACACATCACTACAATACCTGTGAGTCCCTGAAGTACATCTCATACTGCTGTATCATCTGCCTGCTAACCATGCTCCCATGATATACCACGACATTAAGATCAGTCCATGTGCGAAATTCTCTTTCCCAATTGGTTATAGTGGAAAGTGGAGCTATGATCAGGAAAGGCCCTCGTATACCAGTCAGGAGGATTTCATAGAGGAATGTAATTGACTGGATGGTTTTGCCAAGACCCATTTCATCTGCTAAAATGCAGTTTCGTCTGAAATTACAAATATTTGTTATTAGGCTAGAGGGAACCATAAATGTTGCACTTTTACTCAAAAGGACACTATCTGAAAACAATTAAGGTTCATAAAAATATAAGTCTAAAACAGATAATCAAAACTGAGGCAGTGCAGAATAGGCTCAACGGTATTCCTCCCACTGTAATAAAAGCATGAAACTGGGTACCCACCCAGAGGTCGAACTGTACCTCTTAATGTAAAAACCCAGGAGGCAGTCAGGGAGGAGGAGAACTCCACAAGGTTCCTCTTGCAGAGTTTTCTTCAATTCTCTCTCTCACGGTAGTGTCAGCCTAACCACCGTCCTCCCAGTAAGACTAGGGAATTAGGCTACAAACCACACAGATTCGCTAGAAGGATCTACTGGAGGTGAGGTCCTGTGACCCTACATCAGCCCCTGGCTCTGTGCATATTCTGTGGAGGATCCAGCACACATGGGAGGGGTGAGTACCATGCTTGGAATATCCCATCTGCATCCAGATATAGGACCTATGATGTCCCCATCCCAAATTTTGGCCACTACAACTAGGACAACAGGTTTAAGGCCCCCAGTGCTAGCTTAACACTGGTAACATCCTTATGTCTAAGCTCCTGGAATGCTGTAAATATATGCATTTCCTTATGTTCTTTCTTCAACTTGTTTGTCCTTATGTGTGCTTTATTACTTTTTGAGACACAGAAGCCGGCAGTATAGAGACCCCCACCTGTTCCTTCCACAAGTCCCTTCCATTCCATTTTGTGCTATAAATGTTCAAAACCCTGCTGGTGACTTATTTCTGGAGCAGTCTTGGCTTGCCCTCAACCTCCTCCACCTTCTAATGGTTTTTTACTTCCCCTTTCTCTGGTACTCCAATAAGCAAGGGTCTGACCCTTTTGTCTTCCCTGCTTAAATGATATACTGGTGACCTGTGCACTTCACTGTCTTCTAGGATCCAACTTCCAGTAAAGTGCAGTGTTTGGGGTTTAGTTAAGTAAAAAAAACATTAATAGAACTTTTTGTTTGTTTGACTTTTAGTTAAAATAAAATCTCAAAGACTTGCAAAAGGATGCACATATCCAGACTGACAATCTGTATAACAAATTTCAATTGAAAGCCTCTTAAATATTTTCCTAGGTTTAACTTTTCCGCTTAAATACAGAAAAGTCAATGCAAATGAAACTAAAGCACTATTCCTTCACGATAATATAGCAATCCATTTTACCTGTAATATAATGTTGAAATTTACATCAAAATGTTCAGTGCCCTTACCTATTGTACCAGTTGAAAAGGAGCCAGTTGAGTCCTTCCAGTTGGTATTCCCTAAGCTGGTTGCCATTTTTATATTCTCTGGACTGTTCTAGCTTCTTCCAGGAGTTAGGAGGAGGTCGGTCCTTAAAGGAAAACAAAAATATTTTAAACTAAGCATAAATATTTTTCTGTTTCCAAAACATCTCTGTACTCTGTTTTTCCTCAGAGAGTGACTTGAAGGATTATGAGTTTGCCTGTTTTTCTGTGGTTGGGAAGGTTCTTGTTATTGTTACTCTCTATTGATTAAATTAATTCATGAATGTGAATTTACATACATTTATTACACATATGCCTAGAGCTCACGAGAAATGCTTTATTAATAAATTGAAAAACATATAAATCAAAATCAAATGTAACTGACTTTTTAGAAATAAATGCTAATAGTTAAAAGATTGCTTTGAATGTTACAGGAAGGAAAAAAAGATACAGTCTCGGCAGACTGAAAAGGCCTACTAAATGTTTGTTCAGATGACACTTACATCAAGTTTGCTCTGTTTCCCCACCCAACCTCCCAAAAGAATTAGGTAACAGATACATAAAACACTTCTGGAAAATGGTGACATTTTAAACAAGTACCAGAGGAACTGAGCAAGATATTAGCAAAAGAGGCTAATATGGCCTTCAAAAATGAAGAAATAAACTGCAAAGCCTGCACATTAAGCAACAAGGAAAAAACCACTGATTTTGTACAAAAAGTCATGCACCCTCTCCACCCCCTTGATTATTTATTTTGCCATAAAATAAAATCAGAGTTTTACTATATATGCCTTTTATGGTACATCGTGACAATGACATATACGACTTCTCTTTCAACAAAAGTAATTTATTTGTTGTACATAATTTTCTTCCTATTAAGTTTTTAATTTGTTCAATTATTATCAAGAGGAGAAAAATAAGTCAGGAAATAGCTATGGAGTATATTGTGACAGTTATATTTGCATATTTGCTCTGGTGTGGAAATGTAGGACCTAATTATCTCTCTGTTCATTTTAGTAGTGGATTTCTCTACAAAAGTGTTTTCTCCACTCACCTTTGTAAGTTCTACAATGGTAATTTACTTTCTATTACTCATCTCTTATTTTAAAGCTTTGCAGAAAGTTATCAGAATACTTCTGTAATTTTTTCTGATTAATAAAGTTAAGTATCTTACTAACAGCTATATATGCAGGCAGTATACGAGAACAGGAACATTTACAGTAGAACCTCATAGTTGCAAATACCAGAGTTACAAACAGTCAACCACAGACCTCATTTAGAATCAGACGTATGCTATCAGGCAGCAGCAAGATTCCCCGCCCCACCCCAAAAAAAGCAAATAGAGAACAGTCCTGTTAAACAAACTACTTTAAAAAAAAAAAAAAAAAAGGAAAGCAGCATTCTTCTGCATAGTAAAGTTTCAAAGTTGTATTAAGTCAACGTTCAGTTGTAAACTTTTGAAAGAACAACCATAACGTTTTGCTCAGAGTTATGGACATTTCAAAGTTATGAACAACCTCCATTCCCGAGTTGTTCATAACTCTGAGGTTCTACTGTATCCGTACTTAACTGAGAATGTCTTGTCTGGGTAATAAAGTTCACAGACCTATTACAGTAGGTCTTCACCCTATCTGCAGCTTTGGAGGCAGAAAAAGAAATGTCTGTTACTTGCAGGAAGCGAATGGACATTAAGATTGGACAGTCCTTGATGACCCAGCCAGTTTTAGTTCTGCCTCCATAAGTGCAGGCAGACAGTTCTAGACTCTCCCTGATGCAGAATATACCACATCTGTGACCTTAACATATAAAAGAGAGAGCTGTAATGCATAAACTTGTAAGAGTGTTTTCAGTACACCTTACAGATTTTCAGTGAAACTTATACTATATTTTAATACAGTCAAAGCTTTAAAGCTGGAAAGGAAAAGTCCTATTTGACAAATTAGGTATATTTTTACCAATCTCCTTGAATCAGGCCTGGAAGCTTGCAGTTGTTCAAAATCTTCTATTTTTGCCTGGTCTACATCTTCTTTTAACTCCCAGGTGCTGTCCTCATATGGCAATGAACACCATTTTACTAGGTAGTAAATAACAGGCTGCAGGAAAATAAATCCTTAATATTAGCAATTTGTGTACTATAGACTTGAAGCAAAAATTATTGTGCGAGTTTAATGGCTTGAGTTTAGCAGGAGGTCAGACAGATGGTCATAATGGTCTCCTCTAGCCTTAAAAAAAATAAATCTATGAATATGTGACTCTTACAGCTGAATTTAATGTTCTCCATTCCCTTAACATAATTTTTTGTTTTTGTCATCTCATGCTTTTGTTTTGACTAGGTTTTTAGGGCATTCACTTTGTATTTTATTCTTCTCTAAAGTACCTAGTAATACTACAAAAAATGAAAAGGCATTACATTCTATAGAGTTTCTATTTTCCTTAGAGGGCTCAAAATACATATTGAACAAAAGGAGTGACAAACACACACACACACACACTTCAGTCAAAACCACTGATGAAACTCACATCATTAAGATTTTATTCTGAAGTCCACTAAAATAAAAACATGTGATACATCCACAAAACACAGAGAATTTGTGTTCTTGGCTTACTTCAAGCTACATTTGGTCAAATATTTACCTCACCAGTGTCCTTATCTTCACAAAAGGAGACTTCTAGCACCCGGTCCACTTCAACATAGTCAGGATTAAAAGGTTCTTCTTCCATCTACAATTCAAGAGTAATATAATTAGTAATCTGGGGTTATTTGGAGAGGAGATCAGTGTGCTGTGATTTAATACACCAGCTTTTACCTGTTTAGGTATAAATATAAGTAAGCAGTCTCAATCTAATGCCTGTGAGCTTCTGTCCACATTATCCACCTCAAAACCACTGCTCTGCTGTGATACCTACCGAAAACTTGACAACGGTTAGGCTGCTGGTATACAGAGACCACAGCCTATCATACTGACCAGTTTCGTCTGTTTCCTTGTTCTCCCTCGGTCTGTCTATATCCATCTGTTGTCTCTTGTCTTATACTTAGATTGTAAGCCCTTTGGGGTAGTAACTGTCTTTTTGTTCTGTGTCTGTACAGAGCCTAGCCAGGACCATGGAGTTCTGGTCCATGACTAGACTCCCAGGCACTACAGCAACAGAAATAACAATAAAAACAACACCACCAAACAATTAGAGACAAATGATGCCACAGAGTGACCGAGCTCAAGAGTAGAAGTAGTATTGTAATTTAGGATTGAAGTACCCTGACATCACTATGTCAGGAAGTCTGCACTATACCCATACTCTGCGTGTCTGTCAGTCATTAATAGAATCAGTCTCTCCTGATCACAAAGTTACATAATTAATCCTGACTTTAAAAGACACAAGTACTTAAGTAACTACAGATGACATTCTTTTGGATCAAATAAATTTTAAGGAAGAGAAAAATCCAAGACCTTTTTATTTAGCATTAAAATTCAACCACGTAATTCAAAATAAATGCAAAAATAAAGAAAGAATTTGTAAAGCTTTTGGCAAGCAAAAGTCTAATTTACTGTGTATTTTTCTTACATCTGCAAAAAAGTGGGCTCTTTGTGCTTGCCTCAGCTTGAACCGTTTAATTTTCTGCTGGATTCTTTTATCCTTCAAAAGCTGCTGTTCTGTGGCCCATTCACAGTGAAGATAGGAGCTAAAATTATAAAACATTAAGTTAAAATATTATTACAAGAAAGTTTTTATACTTATTTTATCCTACAGGTTCCACAATATGCAATCATCGAAAGAGGACAGCAATGTGTCTTCACATACATTTTTATGTACACAATATGTTCTACCATTTTGTTCAATCAGTCGATTCCCCCTCCTTCCACATACATGCACTTTAGATTGACCCCATGTGGTTAAGGCACCCTTAATGAATAACATATCAATCACCTTTTCCCTCTCTAGAGCTCAAAGACATTTTAGGCCCCAATTCTGCAATGTATTGCATATGGACTGATTTCAGCAAGCGGATGGAACCCCATTGAAATTGATGGGGCTCCATACAGCTGCAGCAGTTTACTCACACACCTCACTCTGCAAGATCAGGGTCTTTGTTCATGCAGTGATAAGAGAATTAACATCTTAATAGAAATAGCTTATTAGAAAAAAAAATCTTGCTAAGTAAGTTTCAGTTCTTTTAGTGAGAAAACTTTTAAACCCCAGAACATCTGGGCCCCAATTCTGGAGATTTACACCGAGGAGTAATAATTTGATGAGATTATTCACATGCATAAAATTAACCAAGTGCCCAAGTCTTTGCAATTGAAAGATCTTAGTGATGAGAGGAAAGACGTATAAGCCATATGAAAGAAGGCTCTTTTTCATCATCAACCATTACTATTTTCCATTTTGGATTCAAGTTTATCATGCCTGTCTCATTGGCTTCAATAATTGTGATTGTATCCAGGTGGTCCAGTTCAGAACATCATCCTCACCTCAAGTGTGCCAGGAAAAGGGGGAGCTTGTAGCTAGCTTCAGTTGCTCCTCTCTTTGTTTTCCAAAGTGGCAGCCTAGCTCACTAGTCTGCACTTCTGGTTCAACCTTTGTTTTATGGCTGCAAGCTGAAATTCAGATTGGGTTCCCCAACTCCCTGTTGCATGGCTCCGAGGAAAAGGGTAAAGAATACACACTGTATCCAATTAACTCCCTGTTACAGGGAAACCTGGAAATCTAAAGGCGGCTGCTGGCAGGACCCAGCAGGGCAAAGCCACAGGTAACACAGTGTGGGAACTTCTGTAGCAAAAATGCTGAATTCCCCGAATTCCTAAATTCTGTAGGAGCAAAAATATATAGTACAGAAGGGCCTTATTTAACATGATGCAACACTTCACATATCTTAAAGCTTGTTTCAGGCTTTCTACAAACTCAGGAAGACAACACTCTTGTGATATAATACTTACTAGTTCTTGTATTTTACAAAAAATTCTTCTTCTTCCATTGTCATTCCAGCAGATATCTAAGAAAGTAAATTCAAGATTTTTTAGACTCATGAACATTTAAAGCACATCTTAGAATAAATAATTCCCTCGTGTACACACCACCCTCATTTTAGTCACAATTACTCACTTCTTTCTTCACTATCCTGGAGGATAAAATTTTATCTACAATTGCTGCATCTTCTTCACTTGGATTCTCCTAATAAATGTGGAAAAATAATTAAATGATTACAGTCAGTACTAGGCAATCTCTTTAGAGATGTATAAGGCTGAAAAAGCCTGGGAAACACAGTGGAACGTTAAAAGGCCAGCATGTACTGCAAAAACAGTTTCTTTGTCTCTTTTTCTTAATGTACATAAACTTTCCATTTCCTTTCAGCCAGTGACAAAAATCTTTCAATAAATCTTTCCCTGGACTGGTTATTAACTTGTCACTTTGTTTATTTCACAAAATCCAGATGAACACAAAATCAGTATTTTTAAAATGTGTATTCTAAAGTAATCATTGTACCTTTTACTTTGGTGAGGTCAATTCAATTCACTTTCTGTACCATATATAACCAGAGAAGCGGTACTTTATTGTTCAAAAATTTAAGGATGTAATGCTGAAGTTCCAACATGTGCTAGCATTTTGCTGATCCATCACACTATTTTTTCTTTCAGTTAAAGTATAAAATAGTTTCCATGTTTTTTAAAATCGAATGCTTATTTCTGTGAAGCTCACACAGTGTCACCAAAGCCCCCTCTGGGTTCTATATATTAATGAAAATGTTAGATTGAACTGAATACAGACCCTTTTAATAAACTTCTTTTCTACACAGCATGCAAGATGTCTCAATTTTTAATAGGTACTTATCTTTAACTGTAACTTAATTAAGCTGGCTAATATTTTTGTCAGAGAAGGAAAAGCGTTAATGGGCCATTTAGCTGATAGCGTTCATGAAAGCTTAGCAAGATGCCAACTGCATTTATATAAAGCGTATTTTAATAATAATCATGTTTTAATTTCTAATTGTTCTGCTTGAAGGTTAAGATGGTTTATAATATTACTTTATTATAGGTGAGATGTGGCATTATTCAGCACAATATATCCTATGTAAGATATGGATATCTTATAAAGCAAGTTTTTCAAAAACATCTCAATAGGTATTTGTTGGGTTACTTCTTATCCTCGTAGCAAGGTCATCTGGAAGCAACAATGGTTGTTTGAGTATAAGAGACTACATAAGCATATGTTGATGTCTCATGGAAAGTTAAAAATCATGGTAGTACAGAATGCAGAATTATCTCTAGAATGTTTGTCTTTTCTTCCTTAGCTTTTTTAGAATTTCAGAATGAAAACAGGGCATGGCCTCTCTTCTACTGTTTACTTTCTAAAATCATACCCGTCTCTTTGAGTCATCAAAATAATTGATTAGTTCGACATCAAACTGTGATCCTAGTTTTCTATGATAAAAAAACCCCAAAATTTGCCAAAAAAACCCCCATAAAAATCCATGTTTTTCCCAGACTAAAATGAAACGCTGAACTTGAATTTCCCTAGCCACAATTTATACAGGTATCAGTTGAACATAATGTGTTACTGATATATTTACATTTTTAAGCAAGTCTGAAGCCTACCAGTGCCATTATCATTATAATAAAATAAAATTAACAGAATTGTGATTTGTATTTCTTATATATACACACCAAATACTTCTATGTCTCCATTCTGTATTTTCAGCTAATATAGTTTGGGCTGTCAGCCTGGGCAGCAGGGCTTGGATGCCGCCCAGAGCTCAAGCCCAAGCCTGCAGCCCCGGGCTCAGGTTGACAGCCCTGGTTCTGTTAATATGGACAGCCGGATAACGGAGGCACAGTAGAACCCTGTTTTATCTGAATGTGTTTTTATTTTTTCACAAAATGTAAAAACTAAAATGTACTGTACAAATGCAAATTCTGTATTTTTCCATGGCAAACAGATTTCTAGGATCTCAATATATCACACAGAGGATGTGTTCTGACACAGAATAAGCAGCAAGCAACATATTATTTTTCATTAACAAACATCTTGTCTTAAGAAGTCAAGCTCTCTATCCACAATTTGCCAACTGAGGCTCCCCAGACATCAATCTTTACAAAAAAGAAACAAACAAAACAAAAAAACCCTCTCTCAATTTATGAGAAGATAAACATTAATTAAAAATATAAATACAGAGAATATCCCATAACCAAAAATACATACATTGGTAATACCTGCTACATACTTGTATCTTTAGTGAACATGTATAACCTCTCATTTGATATACTTTTTATTTTTAAATTTCAAAAGACAAAAATCTTTAGAAGCTAAACAGCCCATTAACAGGCAGCATTCACACCGTCAAAGAACTCTGAATTTACTCTGATAGTTCAATATCACCATACATTAACAAGAATTAAACCTATGTAAATAAACTGCAGGATTATGCTGCAAATTGCTATCACCCTGCACCTCCACAGCCGCACCTGCAGTCCCACCCACAAATTCTTTTCTGCCAGCACTACTTCGAATACTTCAAACTCCATCTTTTGAACAGCTCCCTTTTTTAAAAAAACCCTTTCCACAAAAATGTCCTTCCTGCCCCTCAAACCATGGAATTTTCCTTCATAGTTACACTGGTCTGAAGTGCTTGACAGTCCTTAAAGTCCTTAAAAAATAGGGTATACGGTGGGTCTGCCATGAGAGCTGCTATTTCTCCTGCCCGTCTAGCAGAAGTGATTGTCACCAAGAATGCTGTCTTCACAGAAAGGTGTAAGAGGGAGCAAGTGGCTAGGGGTTCGAATGGTTGTTGAGTTAAGCAAGATAACACTAAGTGAAGGTCCCACGGGGGGTAAGAGGTCTAATGTCTAGGTCTAGGGATTGAAGTCCTTTGAGAAAACGTTTAGTGATCGGATGAGCAAACACAGAGGTACTGTCAATTTTATTGTGGAAGGTTGTAATAGCAGCTAGGTGGACTTTGATGGAGCTGAAAGAAAAGCCAGATTGTTTGAGGTCCAACAGTAGCCAAGTATAAGAGGAAAAGGTGCAGACATAGGAGGCAGTTATTTAGTTGAGCACCATTGCGTAAATCGCTTCCACTTCTGGAGATAGGTGGTGCAAGTAGATTGTGTTCTGCTATGTAGGAGCACTCTTTGGACTTTGTCAGAGCATGCTAGTTCGTTTTGGGAGAACGATGTTGGAACCAAGCTTTGAGGTGAAGCATGGACAGGTTGGGGCGGAGAAATCGGCTGTGTTGCTGCGACAGGAGGTTTGGAATGAGAGGCAACGAGATTGGTGGTCGAGTTGACATCCTGGTGAGTAATGGGAACCACGGCTGTCTGGGCCATGCTGGGGCAATCAGGATCACTTTGGCACGATCTGTTCGTATTTTTGTCAGAACTCTGTGGAGAATCGGGATCGGGGGAAAAGCATAGAGTAAGTTCCAGTGCCACAGAATCATAAATGTATCTCCCAGGGAGTGTTTGCCCAGTCCTGCTCTGGAGCAAAATTCGGGGCATTTCGTGTTTTTCGCAGTTGCAAAGAGGTCTATGGTTGGGTAGCCCCAAATGCGGAATACGCTGGTGATGATCATTTCGTTTATCTCCCATTCGTGGTCTCAAGGAAAACATCTGCTTAATTCATCTGCTGTGGTATTCATAGCCCTGGGAAGGTAGGGGGCTGATATCCGGATATTGTTCGCAAGGCACCAGTTCCAGAGTTTCATAGCTTCTGTGCAAAGCGAATGAGAGCAAGCTCTTCCCTGCCTGTTTAGATAGAACATGCAGGCGATGTTGTCTGTCATTATCTATACATACATACGTCCAAGCAGATCTAAAAGCTTACTGTCTTTATCAACTGGGGCGGAGCGGGGATACTGGTGCTTGTTCTTTTGGTTCACTGCATCAACTACCAGCGAATTAGGTGCTGGATGAGTGAAAAGAAATTCAGAGCCCTTGGAAGGGATGAAGTACTTGCGGTCCGCTCGTTTGCAGGTAGGTAAGCTTGCAGCAGGAGTCTGCCAGATGGCTTTCGCAGGTTCCAGAAGAGCTGGATTGATCGGCAATGCAATCCTGGAAGAAGAAGGCGGCTGCAGAATGTCCGTTAACTCATGCTGCTGTTCAGGAACCTCCTCCGGATTAATTCTTAATTCACTGGCCATTCTTTTGAAAAGGTCTTGAAATTTTGAAAAGTCATCTGAAGATGATGGGGGAGGGGGAAGCAGGGCTTTGTCAGGCGTAACAACTGAGTCTATTGGGTTAGAGACAGGTTGTGCCTGATTCTGCACTTGTGATGGTGCTGTCTGGTGACTGGCATCGGTGGCAGGTTCGTGAGCTTGTGGTGCTGGGCCGGTATTGGGCCTGGTTGAGGTGGCATAGCGAGTGTGGTCTCGAGGATAGGATGCCCACGGGGCCCAATATTGCCACTGTAGTGGGAAGGGCATAGGTGGTGCCATCCACGGGTTTACACACCACAGGGCAGGATCCTGAGAGTATGACGAGGTGATGTTTCTATGACCTCTATTAATTGTGGTCTGAGGATGAGACACTTCATATGGTGAAAAATCCTCCTGGAGACCAGCTTCCTCCTCACTGGAGGAAGGCTGTTCGGAGCCTGGCTGAGCATTTGGTGAGAAGCAGGCATTCAGTAAGGGTGACTGCAGAACGGGTGACACAAGCACGTCACTTGACTGTGTAAATTGTAGTGCTGAAGCTCCTCTGTGTGGTGAGGGCTGTGCGAGAGGAATCTGCTGCGACAAAAAGTTCCTCTGCACCGGTGTCTTCAAAGTCGTTTGGCTGCCGGCCAGCTCAGCGGGTGCCGGGAGAGCGGTGATAGCCTGCGGGGCATCAGGCACGTCCGCATGTGTCAGCACTGCTTCCACCGTGGTGCCGAAAGGTGCTAACTGAGAGGCAGGCAACTGGAAGCCTGAAGCCTCGGCACCAGAGCTCCATGCTACTGCCGCAGCCCCAGGCGGGTTTCGTGCAGCACTGGAGGAGCCCGGTGCGTCAAAACTGCTCAGCCAGGGGAGCGCTGGGAGGGAGGTGGTAGACCTGCCAGGAGAAGCCTTCTCCTGCGAAGCTCGCTTTGTGGCTGACAGAAGGTGATTTTTTTTGAATTTTTCTTCATCTTCTTAGCGGCGTGGGGGCTGTGGTCAGGAGCAGAGCCGAAATTAGCACCTGGCTCTGAAGCTGACCCTAAGGATTTTTGCAGCAGGAGCAGCTTTAGCCTCAACTCCCTGTCCTTTTGTGCCCTAGACTCAAGTTTGCTGCAGTGGGCACATTTTGGGGGGATGTGGGACTCCCCCAAACATTTTATGCATTTTGAATGGCCATCAGACAGAGGGATGGTATCCTTACAATTAGAGCAGTGCTTAAAGCCTGGGGAGCCAGGCATGCCAGGAGCGGCTGCACTGACAGGAACTAAGAGATTTTTTTTTTTTTTTTTTTAAAAGAAACTAACACACTACTGGTAACACTAATAACGAACACTATTGGTAACAAACGAACTATCTAAAAGGTAAGAGTAACAAGGGAGAAAAATGACAGGTTTCAGAGTAGCAGCTGTGTTAGTCTGTATCCGCAAAAAGAAAAGGAGTACTTGTGGCACCTGCTGAGCTTTGTCTCAGGCTGGGGACAGTAGAGAAGGAACTGAGGGGTATTCTGCACGCGTACTATTAAGGTACACTCAGAGCGAAGGGGGAGGGGGGAAAGAGGAAGCTCTGCGCATGCGTGACTGGTACGAGTACTGCTGTAAAAATCTCCGAATAAAGGCGCAGGGACGCACCAGCACCTAGAATGGAACACCCACAGGGACAGCTCTCGAAGAAGAACACTGAAGCCCTGATAGAAAGCCAACTGAAGTCAATGGGGATATTTCCATTGGCTTCAGTGGGCATTAGATCAAGCCCTCAGTAAGCCAGGGCTGCCAAACCTGCAAGAAACAGAAGTAGCAGCACTCCATCACTTTGTATTTGGAGCAAGCGGTTACCTTTGCAGCTTACTCCACAGCACCTGAAGAGGAAAGGTACCTTAAGCTTCTCAGGTTGCTTCTACAGCAAAATTTTTATATAGTGAAATGGAAAGTTAATCTGTTGTGGTGAACACACACACCATTTTCGTTAGCAGCCTGCTCTTGGTAGCTGAAAAGAGTCTTTACATGGACAGTAAGAAGCCAAAGGGAAAACCGATTAGGATGCTAGTCAGTTTTCCTCTCCATTCAGTCTGTGTGTAAAGTGCTGCAGTTCTGCCAACTCTGCCAAGACGGTGAAATAAAAAACCAGGGACAAAAGGAACAACAACAACAACAACAAAAGCATAAAGAAGCAGAAACAGAAGAATTTAAAAAAAATAAAGGTATCAAACATGGCAAGGGAAAGAAAAGGGAGAAAGAAGGCAAAAAAGGTAAAAAAGAGAAAAAAGAAAAGACAGGCATAAGTGTGTGGGTGTGTGCAGTTTATAAAAGAAAAAGAAAAAAATGCAAAGGAAAAATGTCTCGCAATTTCCACAATTTGTCAAAAAATATTCCATATCTCAAGCCCTAAGTTATTACATATAAAACAAAAATACAACTAAACAAAAAACCTATGTTAAAAGAAAGTTAAGGTTTCAAAGTCCACCATTCAGAAGTTCAGTAAGATCAGAACAAAGGTTGCCTGTGCAGCCATAATTCCGCCCCCTTGTGCAAATGCATCTTAAGACAATTTTTAATTACATGATCACATCATATTTTTTTCCCACACAACCCCTTGTCAAAGTGTGCAGGGTTTTTTATAGCAAATACAAAAAACAAAAATTCCATAACGTGGTATCAGACTGACCCCAACGTGGGCCATCAGCAGAACTGGAACTGGCAGGAAATGAAGGGTAGGAATAAATGGTTAGTATTCATAAGGGAGAAAGGCAAATAGCGTGGTCTCCCAAGAATCAACATTGGGATCTGTGCTGTTCAACATCTTCAGAAATGATCTAGAAAAAGAGGTGAACAGTGAGGTGCAGAGGATATAAAATTACTCAAAGTTAAACACACACTTGGTCAGTGAGTTTCATGGATATCTGCTGACAGCAAAGGCACATTGGGACTCCGTTCCCTCCTAAAATCTGGAATAATGTATCTAGTGGTTACAGATCCTCTTAGCCTACCTGTCTGTCTCCTTCTGCCTGTCTCCTGGAATGTCCCTCAACAGCATATCCCCTTCAGTTCTTGTCAGTCCCTCTTCTATTACTCTTTGCACATAACAGTCCCACTCTGCTCCTGTCCCTGCCTAGGCCACAGGTTCTCAATCTTTTGGGGCTCAGGATTCATTTGTAAACCTCGATGGCCTGTCACAATGCATTAAATAGCTTTAGTGCAAAACACATGTGGTTTACTAAATATTTCTTATCCACAATATACAATATCCACATCAACAAAACAAGTACTAAATAACTACAACTTACACACCGTAGTGGCAGCTCCTGTGGCTCCTGTCCATCGGAACTAGCTGGGCTAACCTCCTTGTTCCAGGCACTGTGACCTCTGGGGTTGCAGCACCCCTCAGGTTTGGACCAGCCCCTCTGACTCAGCACAACTTACTCAAATTTGCCCCCTCATCCTACATCATGCGAGCAGGACAACTGAGCCAAACCTGAGTAGCACTGCAACCCCATGCACAATATTGCAAAATGCCCCAAGTGGGGAGCAGAGCCCAGCCAGCCCCACATGTCAGGAGCTGCCACTGCAGAATGAACGAGGGGTAGGCTCTGCAACTCCCTCCCCAAAGACAGGACCTACCCCGAGCTATCAATTCCCCAGGCCTCCTAAGCAACCCTCTGACACACATGCAACCTAATTTTGGGTCATGACTCCACAGGATCAGAAACCCTGGCCCAGACTGTACCAGTCTTCATACTCCTGTCCATCCCTTAAATATGTTGCTATTTCCCTTCTCTTATCCCCTGTACCTGTCCACCAATAGACTGCTCTTCCCCCTTGACTCTATTACTGAACCCCCTGAATTCAAAAAAGTTGGCTTCTGTCTCCTCCTTGCTACCTAGTTTCCAACAGGGGGAGTATTGAGAACAAGAGAGAAAGGCTCCTTATTCTCAGCTCTGGTGCCCACAGTCACAGCAGTCATCAACAGCCAGAAGGAGCAACTGCAGGAAAAGTCCAGTTCAGCTCTGGGCAGGAACATGACAGTTCTGTAGATGTGGAGCATGCTTAGTGGAGATGCAATGTCCTGAGAATTTTGCTGCCATTTTCTAACAAACCTCTTTGGAGCATGTGGAAATGGTAATTTTGAGAGGCTTATAATGTGGCTAAATTGGGGTGGATTTTCAAAAGAATAGGTAAAGGCATTTCTCTGACCCTAGGATATACCACCTACCATATTTCAAGTCCCTGCTCAAAAGCATGAGGTGCCATAACTTCTCAATGAAACAGCTGCAATAATTTTGTAACATTTGGCAAAACAATGTAATTTTTTCTAACCCTGTTCTCAATAATGGATGAACTGTTTTTGCTGCAGCTTTCCAAAAAAGTAGTATTTATGTCACACAAGATGACCTGAAAATTGGAAAGGGGAGGATAACTGTATGGAACCTGGGCACTTGCTACTGTGCATCATAATTACTGGGTAACTGACCTAAGTCAGCCAAACATGGCTAACAAAATGGGCTTTACCCATGATATAGTGAAGTTAGTTGGAAGATTCACACTACTCACAGTTCTGGATTTTTACGTACCACAAATAATTGTAAGGGTTGCTCAGCAGGCAAAGGAGCAGAACTCTTTTTGATTTTCACAGAAACTTTAGCCTCTTCCTCTGACTGTTTTCCTTCTCCTTCTTCAGCATACTTTTTTCTTTTAACTTGACGATTTGATCTTCTCTTCTACAATACAGTAATATCAACATAATATTTTTACTGAAAATTCTTTCTAGCAAGAACTGCTTATATTGATTTTTTAAAAATAGTCATTCAGCTACACTACATATTACTATAGAAAATTTAGTGAGCCGTAATTTTGATAAGTGCACAAATTTAAAGAAAAAAAGTAACTGTATAAACAACAACAGGGTGGGGAGATTCTAAGCCAAATTTTCGACCTACAAATCTTGTTAATGTTTCTTTAAGTTATACATAATAAAATATAAAAGTAGTTAAGTGGCTTTGTCTGTATTTACAGCTAAGAAATGAAACTGGAGTAATGTTTTCTGGATATTTACGAACAAAATTCAAGTGAGAGCTATTTTGTTTCATGAATTCACTGTAATTTCTCCCAATAGTAATTTCATAAGGATAAATACGGAAGACCACTGTGTGCTATTAATCTATCTAAACCAATAACCTATAAAGTGAAGATTTACACAATATGCTAAAGTGAGTCCTCTATTAAATAAAAGGTCCTTTTTGTATAAACCGGTATTATGAAGACTCTCAGAAATTAAGAAAGGGAAGAGACCTATCAGATCATGCCAGTCATACTGCTGATACTGTATGATTTTTATTAATTAATTATTATTATTATTTGTTTTAAACAAGTATACTGTCCATTCCATCATCTCCTCTACGGGTCTCGATCAAGGTTATTCTAGTATAACCAACATCAACTTTGAGATATCATACACATTTCAGCTTAATGTTTTTTTACTTTCTTTAAAAAATCTCATTACTAGACTATCCCACTCTTAACAATTTCTCTCACTTTGGTGTTATAACTTTCAAATACTTGCAGATTTTACACATTTAACCATTTTAAGCTTAATGATAAAACCACCTTTACAGTCTCTTAATTATTTTGATGAGCTGATGACTAACAGGAGACTGGATAACAAAGGCAACTGCAATCAGTATAACAATTAACACAAAGTCTGACAACTAACTGATTTGAAAACACCGATTGCCTACGAAAATCTCTTATTTTGGGCAATGAATCAGCAGAAGTATAGAAATAAGACAGCTCTGCAACTCCATACATACTGGACTGAGCTTTATAGCAAAGTAACTGAATCACACGGATTTACTCTGAATGAAGCACTCATTTACAGTAAGGTGTTTCTCTAATTAGCTAGCAATCAACAAGGCTCTACACCAAATATGGCAAGTGCCAAAAGCTTCTGCAGAACTTACACTACTGCATCAGAGTGAAAACTGACCAGTCTAGTCTGTTATCTGAAACATTAAAGCTATGAGCCACAGTGGAAGCAGGTGTCGGGGCAATTCATTAAGCAGAAATAAGGTGTACAATAGTCCCTGACACACTTTTGCAGTAGCCAAGAGGCTCTTATCTATTTTAAGGGTTTTGTATAGAGCCCACCACCATAATAACTAAGCATATATAAAGTAAAGTATATTGAGGTCTCCTGTGGAATCCTTGGAGTCTTTCATAACTAGTAAAGTGAGAAGAACAGAACGTTTTACTTGCATTGAATTTATATTGTGGGAAGGGAGGGCAATTTTTAAATGGGATGGGGGGGGAAGAGGATTGGTTTAAATATCTGATTATGGCAGGAATGCTCTCTCAAGAGGAAGATGGTGTGCCCAATGAGGAGGCTGAACTCCAAATTAATAAGAGGTTTCAGAGTAACAGCTGTGTTAGTCTGTATTTGCAAAAAGAAAAGGAGTACTTGTGGCACCTTAGAGACTAACCAATTTATTTGAGCATAAGCTTTCGTGAGCTCAGCTGTAGCTCACGAAAGCTCATGCTCAAATAAATTGGTTAATCTCTAAGGTGCCACAAGTACTCCTTTTCTTTTTGCAAATTAATAAGCGTTCCCCTGAGAGTCTGTTCCATAGTATGAAGACCTCAAATAAAAATACTTTATCTCTAGCTCTGACACTTTTTCCCTGGGTTTTGTGAGCTGCCTTGCTCCAGAAAAACACAAACATCCTAAAAGATAGCAGATGGAGATGTAGTGACAGAGCAGGGTCCTAATCTAACAATGGCCTTGAAGATAAGGATCACAACCTTAAACTGAAACCAGAAGTGGAATGTGTGTGTGGGGGGGAGGGGGAGGAGGTATGAATACAAAGAGATTGCTCTTTTTCCTTCCGTAAGTGAATGCCTACAAGAGACACATACCACCCAGAGGCTAATACAAATAAGAAAATTCCCCTGAGGAGGATTTAGAGATAACATCCCCTTGGGAATCCCAGACACCTTTTACTTCTCAACAAGTAGAGGATTTGGGAGTTGGCTTTTCACTTAGGTGAGCCCCTAGACAAGTGAAGATAGGCAATAACAGTAAACACAAAGCAAGAAAAGACACATCATGGTCTACAACAACACAGAAAAGAAAAAAAATGAAATAATGCCAAGAAGAGAAAGATATCGTAAACATTAGGCAAATTGTATTTTCTAAAAATTATCAATTTGATCAACTACGTTGCTATAAGGGCTATAAGTTGCTATAAGTTAACTCACGCGATTAACTCAAAAAAATTAATCACAATTAATTGCAGTTTTAATCACACTGTTAAATAATAGAATACCAATTGAAATTTATTAAATAATTTGGATGTTTTTCTACATTTTCAAATATATTGATTTCAATTACAACACAGAATACAAGTGTACAATGCTTACTTTATATTACTTTTATTACCCAATAGTTGCACTGTAAAAATGACAAAAGAAATAGTATTTTTAAATTCACCTCATACAAGTACTATAGTGCAATCCCCCTATTGTGAAAGCGGAATTTACAAATGTAGATTTTTTTTTGTTACATAATTGCACTCAAAAACATAACAATGTAAAACTTTAGCGCCTACAAGCCCACTCAGGCCTACTTCTTGTGCAGTCAACCGCTAACAGAAACAAGTTTGTCTACATTTACGAGAGATAATGCTGCCCGCTTCTTATTTACAATGTCACCTGAAAGTGAGAACAGGCGTTCACATGGCACTTTTGTAGCCAGCATTGCAAGGTATTTACATTCCAGATATTCTAAAGATTTGCATGCCCCTTCATCCTTTGGCCACCATTCCAGAGGACATGCGTCCATGCTGATGACATCCATTAAAAAAATAATGGGTTAATTAAATTTGTGACTGAACTCGTTGGGGGAGAATTGTATGTCTCCTGCTCTGTGTTTTAACTGCATTCTAACATATATTTCATGTTATAGCAATCTTGGATTATGACCCAGCATGTTGTTTGTTTTAAGAACACTTTCAATGCAGATTTGACAAAACGCAAAGAAGGTACTGATGTGAGATTTCTAAAGATAGCTACAGCACTCGACCCAAGATTTAAGAAACTGAAGGGCCTTCCTAAATCCGAGAGGGACGGGGTGTGGAGTATGCTTTCAGAAGTCTTAAAAGAGCAACATTCCGATGTGGAAACTACAGAACCCAAACCACCAAAAAAGAAAATCAACTTTCTGCTGGTGATGTGTGACTCGGATGATGAAAATGAACATGTGTCAGTCTGCACTGCTTTGGATCGTTATCGAACAGAAACCATCATCAGCATGAACGCATAAAATAAAAAATGAATATAATCATCACAGACTTTAGTATACAGGGAGAGCATATAAGTGAAAATAATTATGCTCAAGCCTATCGGAATGGAGCTCTGTCCGTCTGTATTAGGTAGTCGTTGTCAAAATGGGTTTTTTTATGCACAGAGAAACCATAAATTTACAGATATCCAAATGCTACATCATAATTAATAAAACACAGTAGTCAGCTATCTCTGAAAGGAGGGCATTTCAGGAGAAAATGTAGGCAGTCATAGAAAAAATGTCAGCTTATCAGTATGAAAAAAGAAACTAGAAAGGGATTTAAAGAAGTTAAGAGAGCTAGATAAAAGGTCAACTGTTCAGTCAGACATATTTCAAATCCTAGAACACTTGCAATATAAAAAGAAAAGGAATACTTGTGGCACCTTAGAGACTAACAAATTTATTTGGCTGTAGACAATGGATCGTGTGGTGTGGTCTGGATGAAAGCTGGAGGAATGTAGGTAAGTATAGCAATCAGTAGGTTTCCTGTAACCCAGGAACCTATCCTTGCAACAAAGCCCATTGCCAACTGTGTCCACCTACCTATTCAGGGGACAACCTCATAGGGCCTAATCACATCAGCCACACTATCACTACCGCTGCATAAAACAGAACTCCAGGTAGCTAACTACTATTACGACTGCTATTACCTGCTACAACTGACATGATACCACAGTAGCACTAACACAGTCAGTTTTAAGATCAACTGCTCCTGACGCTACCTAGAGCATGGTCTCAGAGCATACTCAGCTCCATTTTTATTGGTTTAGAGAGGAAATGGCATTCTTCTTACACTGATTCTCACAGGCTACAAAGAACTTAGGTGACTTCCTAAATTCCTTGGGTATGATTTTCAAAAATGCATAAGCAATTTAGGACTACAAGTCTCATTCAAAGTAACTTATGGACTTATAAACCTCTTCTCTTCATCTTAACCAAACAAAATATTATCCAAAGCAAAGTGACTACAGTTTATAGAGATTAGCTACTTTTGTGCTCCAACTGGCAGGAGTTTTTCCTGACTGATGCATAAAGAGGCATATAATTCAGTCAGCAATGGAGTATCATCCTTCAGAAGACATTCAAAGAAGGTGCCTCTAAGTTCCAGAGTGATTGGTATTTAACAAGTTCAAAATTACCACACCATTGCAGGTAAGCCTTGCAGTACAGCTACACTGAGAGTTTGGATCTTGCAATTTAATTGTTATACTACAGCTTCATGGACACTGCATCAATTATAAGAAGCTATGGCAGTTCACCACTAGTACTACAAAAATTGAAGTAGAAAGATTCTAGGAAGGCGTGTTCATTCCAAATGGAATTGTACCACTTCATGCCGGTGGAAACCTCATCCATGAAGATGATGATCATATAGAAATAAAT